TTACCTTCATTCTTATAAACCCTTGACTAAAAAGTAACTTAAAGACTTTTGCAGATTAACTCATAATAATTTTCCTAACGATTCAACAGTTTCCTATTTTATCATGGAATATAATGCAAACAAGTAGCTTTAAAAATGATAGTTCAACTTTCGTAAATGATATCGTTGAGAAGAAATTTCTTTCACTGAACTATCTCAGCTGAATGATTTAATGAGTTATTTCAAAAATAATAGAAACATCTCATTTAAACCCGTAATAAAGGAACTTTAATTTTCTAATTTAATCAATAAATGTTAGCAAGTTTATACACGATAGTTCTTCTGTTTGTAAAACAACAAAATTTTGATTGATCTTTTCAATCTGTCTTTTTTAAGGTTCAAATATTATACTACGTATACACAAGCAGACATTTATGTATTTCGAGATATACATGTTAGCTAAAAGAAAACTTAGCATGTCAAATAAAGTAAATACATAGATTCAGTAATGATGAAAATAGCATTTTGGCCAGATGAGTTCAAGTTATCAGTGTTGAAGATTGACATATGCGCCACTCAGCAGTCAGAAAAAGCTTCAAAATCGATCCACTACATCAACCAATCAAAGAACAAATATAGGACCGAGAATCAGATCAGAGGGGAATACTATCAAAATAAAGATACAGATAATGACAAGTTCAAGGTAAATAAAATATCCAATCAAGATCAAGGTCGAGAGGACAAAATGGGACTTAAATGTGGCGAAATTCGAATAATTCACTTGTACCTGAAGTTTGTGCTAGTGATTAGACAAACAGTGAGAGATCATGATGACCAATACATCCAGCTCAGAGAATAGAACTCCACCGTCACAAAAACTGTTTGATTGTCCCATACTATAAAGGCCCCTAAAAGCACCTACCCAAGTACTTCCCACAGTGGATGCACGTGCAGCTCGTGTCCGATTTTATCATCTCCTCCTCCTGTCCAACACCCTGAACAGGGAGATGGAGAGGAGGAGGAGATGATAAAATCGGAGACGAGCTGCACGTGCAACCACTGTGGGAAGTACTTGGGTAGGTGCTTTTAGGGGCCTTTATAGTATGGGACAATCAACAGTTTTTGTGAACGTGGAGTTCTATTCTCTGAGCTGGATGGATTGGTCAGTCATGATCTTTCACTGTTTGTCTGTCACTAGCACAAACTTCTGGTACAAGTGAAGTATTCGAATTTCGCCACTTTAAGTCCCATTTTGTCCTCTCGACCTTGGTCTTAATTGGATATTTTATTACCTTTAACTTGTCATTATCTGTATCTTTATTTTGATAGTATTTCCCTCTGATCTGATTCTCGGTCGTAATTTGTTCTCTGATTGGTTGATTATGGTCGATTTGAAGCTTTTTCGGACTGCTGGAGTGACGCATATGTCAATCTTCAACACTGATTACTTTAAAACTCAGCTGGCCAAAATGCTATTTTCAATATTACTGAGTTCTATTGTATTTACTTTATTTGACATGCTAAGTTTTCTTTTAGCTAACATGTATATCTCGAAATACATAAATGTCTGCTTGTGTATACGTAGTATAATATTTGAACCTTAAAAAAAGACAGAATTGACTACACTTGAAAAGATCAATCAAAATTTTGTTGTTTTACAAACAGAAGAACTATCGTGTATAAACTTGCTAACATTTATTGATTAAATTAGAAAGTTAAAGTTCCTTTATTACGGGTTTAAATGAGATGTTTCTATTATTTTTGAAATAACTCATTAAATCATTCAGCTGGGATAGTTCGGTGAAAAAATATCTCGCTGATATCATTTACTAAAGCTGTACTATCATTTTTAAAGCTACTTTTTTGCATCATATTCTATGATAAAATAGAATATTGTTGAATCGTTAGGAAAATTATTATGAGTTAATCTGCAAAAGTCATTAAGTTACTTTTTAGTCAAGGGTTTATAAGAATGAAGGTAAAAATGGAAAAGAGATATGAAAGGTAATTGTAAGAAAGATGAAGATGACGAACATGTGCAAATAATATCTTATGAAATACGATGAGGACCGGCAAAATGTGCCACCTATTAATATAACGACTAAGCCTGAATCATGATGCTATGGAAAAGCATTTATCTAGCTACCCTAAGAAGCGGTTTTTCTGACTCAACCAGTGATTTTGTTGGAGATACAGTTGGTCAGATGTTCAGCAATAGGACTATTGATTGATCTGCATTTGTCTCTAGGACGCCATCCTTGCTTGTGTTTACTTGTAGGGTATGACTCGTATTTTCTGAAAATCTCTTCACCCTTTTGCCTTTTAAACTCAACATTTACGAACAAAATCTTGTTGCACGCCGTTAAATTTATTGAATTCTGGAGATTTTTTCAGTGATTTTTGTTATAAAATCTGGGATGAAATCCAGTTTTCACATTTATTTGATTTATTTCTTACAATCCTTTGTCAACTATGCTTTCTGTTCACATTCTTCTAGGTTTTGAGGTTAGAAAATGTATTAGATTTACCCTTCCTACTTAGTAAAAAAAAACATGTATGAATGTCTGTGCATTGCCTATTCCATGTTTGATGTCTACATGTGGCTCCTTTTGTGAATTGATCCTGTCTTCATTTTGGCCAAACATTGTGAAAATTAATTTATTCTACCACTTATTATTCCAGTGTAAATCTAATGGACTGATGACATATAATGAGCTCATATGGAATATATTTGAGGTCACTGTTTTCATCACTAACAATCAAATTATCTTACATATATCTCTTATGGTTACGCGTACCATTTTGTGAGATGACTCAGTGGAGTTTTCATTGTAACACCGTTCATTTGTTTGTAGAATTCAACATCAAATCAGTAGTAGTACATCAAAGTAGTTTCTTTTCAGGTTGTGTTCTGGAATACCAGCATCGATGTTATTAATTTGAATAGATTTACGTAGACAATAATCTCTATTGTGGGCAGCATCCAATCATATGATTCTATTTCTAGATACATTGCTGGAGGCTGTTGAATTGATGAAGTCAAACGATTCAGGAGTGAAGTCAGTGTTTCTTGATATGGTTTCTAACTAATTAAAGGAACTTCAACAACCGTTTTGCAGTTACATTTGAATAGGAGTTATTCATGTCCAGGAAAAGATAACATCTTACCTATGTACCTTGGACAGTAAATACAGTTGTCAGACATCAGAACCTGATGATCTTAACTGGTCAACCAAAGTACTGCTAAAGATTAGTTTTCGTTTTATAGTTCTCAAGATTTTTGTTCTTTTTCGAAATTTTCACAATCGATCTTGGTAAAATCAGCCTATCCACAAGGTGTTGGTGAGAGTTTCATTAATATTTGTCAAAGTATATCACAATCTTGACTGACTGACCGATAGCAATCTTGGGCCGAATGACAATGTCTACAGTGTAATGATAGACAATAGAATGTCAAAACAGCTGAATATATATTTTTTGTGTTTCAGGGAATGAGATTTATAAGGGCTAATAACAAACTTTTAGACTGACTATTTATAAATCGTTGTCCTTTTATACATCTGTTATTTTTTATTGTTTGGTCACTTAGAATCTTGGTGTTATTGATTTAAAGCACTGTCAATCAACTTTTACACATTGACTACTCATCATTATTCTGTAATAAAATTAAGCTGAACAGTTCAGAAAAGATGAATTTCGATCTTGATATTGATTTATAGGTTGGCTTTTAGATTCGATTATATAACTAAAAATTAAAACTATTCTGTTTCATAATAAAATGATCCTAATTTTAATGAATTCTAAACTTCAGTGTGTTTACTACAGTAATATGCGTCTTATTGACTTTTTAAGATGAGATTAAGTGATTTGTAATCAAATGACTACTTAGTTTTTCCTAAAGTGCTGTCAGTTTGTTTTTTGTTTGTTTGTTTGATTTATCATATGATATTGATCATACTTTTTAACAGAAGTGTCTTTTCATATTGAGATTAATATGGTGAATCTTTTGAGTCACGAAGTGAACACATCAACTATGGCATACAGGTACATCCCGTTGGTGATTTCCAAACTGGATGAAACGCACGTCCTAGATCTCATTTTTAGCCGCCATACGTCTCTGTTTATGATACTTTTGACTTAATGGCTGTACGGAGGCAATCCTTACACAATAGACATATACCAAAAGAAACTGATCAATTCAAGTTTAAACAGATCCAACCAACCAATACGAATAAATATTATTTCACAGTCTGAGATTTTTTTTGTTTAAGTAAGTAAATGATCTTGTGTATTACCTGATCAAATTTAATTGATGTTTTTAGAAAATAAAATTTAGAAAATTAGATTTACTTAAGAAGATAAAACAGGGTGAATTACTTAAACAGTAAACCGTTGAGACTGTAGAATAGCTTATCACAATCTGTCCATGAAATAAAATTACTCTCATCGTTTGTCTGCTGCACCGAAAATGACTTAACTGTGCTTACAGCTGTAAGTAAATACAATTCCACAAGTGAGATTGTAGGAACTCAAGACGTTAAATCGTTTCATTATTCAGACTCATAATTAATCTTCTTACTTGTAGATAGTTTACACTGACACTGTCATTCGTAAATTTAGCTAATTTGAATAGTATCTGATCTGAACACTAAACCATAAAATAACCTTGTACCTGTATCATGGTAGACCTGATAGACCTGACTGACGTATCGTTGTAATTATTGCTTTTATATTCTGTGTTTCTGTTTTATTTTCTCCAGTTGTAGATGAAAGTAACCAATGCGTTATGGCACTGGGAACAATATTAAATTTTTGTCCACTGCAATATAAGCGAGGTCTGGTAAAATGCCTCTTCAATGATAGTAGATATTTGTCTTCTATATACACCCGTTTTTCTCATAACTAACCCTTTTGTGTGTGTGTGTGTGTATCGTCGAAATTCATCGTATTTATATTTACCTTCTGCATTAATTCTTTAACTCTTCTCATTGCTCTTATTCTCTGTGTGAACAATTTTCATAGGTTCGTGAAGCAAACATGTATTTCTTTATTGAATCGGCTATTGCATTATTCGTTTCTCTTATGATTAATATATTCGTTGTATCAGTATTTGGTGCTGGATTTTATGGTAAAAATGTTAAACAAGTGGTAGGTTATGTTATTATTTTCGAAATATTTCATGTATATATATATCACAGCTTAGCTGTCAATGTTATTGCTGTTTTCTCATCAACTTGAAAACATCACTGATGTGTCTCAAACAACAATTAATTGCTTGAGGCTAGTTACAGAGGCTCTTTTTTTGATGAAAGTATTACTTGTACTAACTGTGGAATTTTCGAACTTAATCAATACTACTGGAACATTTGTGGGACAAAGTTATACCATTATTTAAATCCGATCGATATTTTATCAACCTATTTGTTTGTAGTAAGTTTGTATTGTTGGAAAGAGTGTGATTATCCGTTAAAAAATGCCTTAATGCTGTTCAGTCAGTCAGTTGCAACGTAGAACTTTGTACCTATGTACATAAGTTCATGTTGCCATACCACATTAGCACAGAGATGCGAATGTCGAATCAAATCCCATAGTGATAAAGATAGTAGAGGTATTAATGTTAATAAAGAAGACTAGGGTTTGAAGATATAATCCAAGAAGTATAACTCAGTCAGATAAGGTTAGAAAGACATAGGTAGAGGTGCTGACGATTCCAGAAGATTAGGATTAGAGAGAGCACAAAGAATGGATGCACTTGCGCCATTGCAAACGATTTTGAGCCATGTCGTTCAAGTTCTCTAACCATTGGTGACTTTCGTCTCGCGGACCCCAACCAGGTAGTCTACATCTACCAACATGACTCAGTCCACTTGTTAGTGACTTCATGGATTTATGCCATGTTTTGGTCTGGCCGCACCTAACTTTCTTCCAACCTACTCCTACACTTCAAAACATAGCATAATGCTGTAGTATCCTTGTACTGTCTGGAGAACAAATCCAATTATGATAACACTGAAAGCTCATTAAAATAAAATTATCACAATTCATTAATATTCCGATTAATAAAAAGATTGATTATTTTAATAATTCAAATATGATATACATAATTTTCCAATAACAGTTAGATGTTGCTTTGCAACAATAGTTAAACTTGTTCATTTAGAACTGTGGTGTGAGCTACTTATAGGTAGTATATGACGTGAGTGTCAACCTAATGTCTGGCAGCATAAAATGGGGGAAGATCAAGAAAGGAAGAGTTAGAAAACAATGGAATTTGTATGAAACGAACGCATGAATAGTGAAAATGGATTAATGTTTTGCAACAGGAACAGTCCAGTTCGATAGGATGAACTGATATTTTGCAAATGAACAGTTTACGTTATGGTTTTCCGATTTTACTGAGTAACTCTGTAATTTTCGTTAAATACAATTCGGTTGCCCCACCTGTGTTCTCGTTCACTACAGAACAACCTAACTAGACTATATAGACTTTAACATATATTCATTGAGGCTTTATTATCATATCATACAAATTTTTATATACTCCATGACCTGGTATGCGTGATTTCATTTCTCATTTATTTCATTTACGATTACATTTTCTCAAGTGGTTTTTTTATGTGTTATTCTGTTTATTTTTTTTTATACTCTGATTGTTTTCTTGGTTTACTGTTTTTAGATTGAGAATTGTACAGCTGAAGGTAAAATTCCAGTTCTTTTTACAAATACTGTAAGTATTTTTGTTGTTTATATAAAATCAATTGTTATTATACTTTGTAGTTTATAGCTTTTCCATGCAATTTTATTTGAAACGTATTTGATTTAAATAATAATTAGTAAATATTTAATACATTATAAAATTATATTTTCAACAAATTTCTTTCACAGTTAGAAGTAAATAATCCACTAATCGATATCTTAAATAACGTCCATTCATTTTGCATCAGATTACCAACAACTACTAAGATGTTTTGCTTTTTAGTTTTTTGTACCTTTTAAAATGATAGCTGTTAAGTTTTCTGTTTTCTGTGCATTAGTTAATCGCATAATGAATTATGCGATGAATAGACATAATCGACGGGTTAAAACATACAATAAAAGGTAACTTGTTGAAATATTTTGATGTCAGTCAGTCAGTCAGATGCAACGTAGAACTTCGTACGTACGTTCATGTCGCCATACCACATCAGCACAGAGATATAATTGTCAATTCAAATCCCATAAAGTAGAAGAGGTAGTAAAGGTGTTAGAAGTAATCGCAGAGGTGTTAGGATTAGAAGATATTATTCAAGAAGTATGATTCAATGAGAAAAGTTTAGAAAGTCAAAAAACTAGAGTTGTTGAAGAACCCAGAAGATTAGGATTTGAGAGAACACAAAGAATAAATGCACCGGCGCCATTGCAAAACGATTTTGAGCCATGTCATTCAAGGTATCTATCTAACCATTGATTATTTTGATGTTAGGAAACAGGTAGCCTAATTATTCAAACAGCCCGCCTATAATGGATATTAAAATATCTAAATCATTCACGGACGTCCCCTGTGGTAACTATTGTAAAATGCTAAAAATTGATATGCTGAAATTTTTATTTTTTTTTCTCAAAGTCTCACATTGACTGTTGATGGGAATTTCAATATTAACGATCGCATATCAAACTTTCATAATTAATTAGAATTGGTTTTTTTTTCTGTTGAAAGTTGTTGTCAAACATCTGATTTTTTGTTTCTGGTTGTTTCAATCATACATAGATTACTGTGATAATTTGTATTTAATTCTTTTATATTTGAACTCTTTACAATAATCTTGCATTTCATACATGGTTTTATGTGAAAATTACATCCTAATTTGTTAGCCATTGTATGCTAAGTTTTTGAATTTTATCACTTTGTAAACATTTGTCTACACTGGTGTCATTTCTCATTGACAATATAATGTTGATATATATATATATATATATATATATATATATATTTGTCGGGTTAGGTTTAAAATCATCAAGTTAATAGAAAGTTTACTAAGATAAGTGAAATCTCATTTTATTTGAATCTAATGAATGTCTAACTGAAAGTCTATTGTTACAAGGAATCGAGTGCTAGGTAAGAATGGCAGATCAATAGACGCAGTAGTGGCACTTCATCAGTTGAGGTGGTTGGGACATGTGTTGCGTATGCCCAACCACCGACTGCCTCGACGAGCTTTGTTTTGTAGTGTAGGAGTAGGTTGGAAGAAAGTTAGGGGCGGCCAAACCAAAACATGGCAGAAATCCATGAAGTCATTGACAAGTGGACTAAGCCATGTTGGTAACTGTCGACTACCTGGTTGGGGTCCGCGAGATGATAATAATCGATGGTTAGAGACCTTGAACGACATGGCTCAAAATCGTTCGCAATGGCGCCGGTGCATTTATTCTTTGTGTTCTCTCAAATCCTAAACTTCTGGGTTCTTCAACAACTCTAGTTTTTTGACTTTCTAAACTTTTCTCATTAAATCATACTTCTTGAATAGTATCTTCTAATCCTAACCTCTCCGATTACTCCTAATAGCTTTACTACCTCTTCTTCTATTGGATTTGAATTGACAATAACATCTCTGTGCTGATATGGTATGGCGTCGACATGAACTGATGTACTTACGTACGAAGTTCTACGTTGCAACTGACTGACTGAACTGTTACAAGGTAAATAAAGTTATCGAAATTATTCCATGTATTGAATAAAACACAAGTGTTGTATCATTTATCAAATTGATTGAAAAAAAATTATTAAGAAAATAAAATTATGCAATAGTTGACAAGTAATAAGAAATTGTAATTTAGACAATAAAACCCAAAAATAGAGATATAACGATTGTCTACTGTAAGAAAAACAGAAGAATATAAAAAATAAGCTAATATTAGTACCTGGGATTTTTTAAATAAAATATAAGGGTTGTTAATATCATGAAAGAATACGGAACTAAACATGACTCATCCATGCATAATGATCAACAGGGTTTCAAGTGGTTAATTTTCATAACTTCAATTGTACACAAGTCAAAATGGAATATAACAACATAGATTATTTTATAGTTTTTCCCCATATTTTCTTTTCGTATATTTTTCCTGTTTATTCACAACGTGTGTAGTGTGTGTACTTTTTTGTTGAGACTACATGGCTTGTCTTAGCCTTTCGGACAAACTAATTGCCCTTTTCTGACCGAGTCATCGTCTTTCGACCTTGTCAATTATTTGCTTATATCTTGGTTGTTTTTGTTGGAGTGTGTGTGTGTGTGTTTGTGCAGTATTGTCTACTTTTGACTACAAAACAAGTCAGTTATGCCTCATCGCATTGAGTTGGTTCATTCGCCTTCTTCACTTCGCTTCACTTAAGTTTTACGCCTTTTATTCTTACGCTTGTCTGAGTGAACAGTTGCTTGAAATAAACTCATCCAACAACTGAATCCGTATTTGGCTTCTTATTACCGCCATCGCACAAATGGTGTTTGCCTATGCATGCTAGATGGAAATTGAAGGAGGAAGATGCTCGCATGCTCGGTCATTCGTCCCGATTGTGTCCTTTTTTTCAGTCATGTATTAGGTTCAAAAAATATTCAGTTATAATCTTATGATGAATTTTACTAGTTAATTTTGTTATAATTACGATCAAAATCATTTTCTTTTGAAATTAGTTATTTTTTAGTGCAGCGCTCTTTATTTAGTTGATTATGTGTCATTTTTTTGTATCTTTTTACACGGGTGAAATAATCTACTGATGTGTAGGGTAAATAATTTATATTTGTAATTAACAGTGTTGTTCATTTAGTAGTTAGTTAGTAACTGTTTTCTCTTGACATTAAGATAATTGTTAGTCTTTAATATTTCATCATAAGTACCTTTTCCTATGAATTTCAAGTCAAATTTCATGCTGAATTATTTGAACGATTCATAAGGAAAATGGTGTAACCACGTTATTTTCATGATCTCAGACGTATTCTGGCTTATGAAACTATTGCAAATTTCTTCATCATTTAGTTTTATGTTAGCATAACAATTTAATTTACTTTTCATTTGCTTTTGGATAAAGTTATCTTATAGTTAGTTATTTATTTGTCTTATTAAGCTCTTTAATTCTGTTACGTTGTTCCGCTGTAATGTTGGATCAATTAACAACTGTATAAGAAATGCCTTTACACTATCGTGTGACGACCTGTCGATTTGGTTCTGCAAAGTATTCAGAGCTTTGGTATACTCCTTATTTTCTGGCAATAAAACAATACTCTGTTGCTACCTTAGTAATTGCTTTTCAGGAGTATAATAATTACACACGTTATTGTCAACGTCGTTTGGGATATTCACTTTCAGTCCTTTCACGAACGTCCAAAAATTGAGATGTTTTTCATTGCACTTTAGAATTATATATATATATGTATGTCAGCGAAATATGTCTGCCAATGACATGCATATACTCATAGATGGGTGTGGTCACTTGTATACGTCATATGCAAATTCGAACTGTTTATACTAAGTCTACTCCTTCTGTAAGTCCATATGAGCATAGAAGTTTCCGCACGCAATTATACTTTATGTGTATATTTAGAGTGCATTGATCAGAGTCCATCCTTATAAGCACATAGGCATAGATGCGTTTACCTCATACCTTAGCCCAGTGGTGTTATTTGTACTGAATGACTATCAAATAGCCAAATCAGTTTAGCAATTAAGTCGTCAGTTGATGATATACTCCTTCATGCTCATACTACAAAAGTGATGTTCCAAACCCTGCACATTAGTTACTGCACAGTTTATGGTCACCGTTCTGCCCCACTCCATCCAGACCTAATTGTTCTATCTAAGCACACTGTCACATTCACCTCTACAGCTCACATCTTTCCACAATCCAGATATTGTATGGAGTAGAGAATTAGCCCGATCTCCTCCTGGCCGCTTGCGTTAGCTCACAGGAAGGTAAATTACAGAAGCGCAAGGAGCAATACACGGAAGTGCACGTAGGTCTTTGCTTCCGCAAATTTTTATTAAACTCCCCTGAAATTAGTAAATAAATTTTTATTCCCACTTTATAAAGTTTAGTATTTTGTAAAGCTGATCACTAGCTATAATTGTAATTTAAAATAGATTTGTATATATTCTGTATATTTTTTCTCTTCGGTATAAATTGGTTACAAAAAACTGCTTTGTATGCTGAATTCACTGTTTATTGATGATTGTCTGATTAATATCATCTAGTATGCTGGCGTATTATAACCAACAATGTTGCGTTTTTGAATGTTATTGAGCCCTCAAATTTCAGTCAATTAAATAATAATAATAATGTGACAAGAATGGATTTTAATTTTATTCAGGTCATAAATAAGCGTTTTGTTTTTTAAGATAATAATAACAATATTAATCGCTCTACACAGCACTGAGTATTTGATCACAGAAAGAATTTTCAATACAAACTGTCCAATTTTAAAATGATTCCCCATTGTAGTATGCACACTTAACTTCTTGAATGAATGGTTATGGTCTTCAATAGAAATTAACTATCGCGTTTCTTCATATCCCCAAACGGTCTGACTCGTTTCACTCATTTGCAGGTTTTTTTTGTATAATATATTTGATCCATGAATTCCATTCTGATCGCCTCTCGTTTCTCCAAGCGACATGCAGTAAAAAAAATATACTAATCATTGTGCATAGTTCCGCTGGCATTTTACATCATTCGCAATAGGTTTTTAAGCTTTTTATAAGAGCGCATTAGTATGTCTCGTCAAAATACCAGTTATTCGAAGCAACTCTAAACTATGAATATTCATTTGCACAGTTCGCGAGACTAATAAAGCCATTTCTGGTAATAGAATGTATTTAACAGTAAACTTATCAATATTTAAAGCTCATTGATATGAAAGATAGTTGTATTAAACAGCATATCTATCTGACATCCCTAACCCCACTACATATCACAGTAAATGCACAGACTACTATAAACTCAGCATAGTTTGTTTACAAGTTCCTTTTTTTTACCATGAATATTCGTTCCATTCCCATACATAGTTCAGTAGGATGAATTCTGAAGCATCGTATCACAATGGGTTATTAATCGTTAAGATACGGTCTAAAACAAAATCCAAAAACTTATTTCCTCCACGAAAATAGCTATCTCTTGTTTATGACTAACTGATTATTGTCAATGTTCAATAAAATCAATTAGTCAAAGGTAACAAGTCTTAAACCGGACATATGTGTCTATTTTTTTTGTGTTATTTCACTCGTCACATCAGTACCTTTGACGAGGAAAAGTGAAGTAATCAGAAGCATAGTAAAAGAAGTAGTTTCTACAGTAATCGGAATGTGGGCTTCACAATTAGTGCTTGAAATAGCTCAATTAAATCGAATGTTAAAATAAATCCGGTAATATTGAGCACAAAATTTAAACGAAGATAAAGAATCAATCTATATATTTATGCTATGGGGGCCGACTTCAAGCTACATTATTTAAAATCTTTAATCATAGACTACGACCCATCATCTCACAATGTATGCACAGTTACTCAATATATAACCTAGCACATATGAATATCGGTTCAAGTTGTTACATCACATCATCATAGCGAGATGAACTCCATAGTAGTAGTGTAGTGAATGAGAACACAGGTGGGGGCAACCGAATTGTATTTAACGAAAATTACAGAGTTAGTCAGTAAAATCGGAAAACCATATCGTAAATCGTTCATTTGCAAAAGATCAGTTCATCCTATGGAACTGGACTGTTCCTGTTGCCAAACATCAATCCATTGTCACTCTTCATGCGTTTCATACAAATTCCATTGTTTTCTGACTCTTCCTTTCTTGATCTTCCCCCCATATTATGCTACCAGACTTTACGTTGACACTCACGCTATATACTACTTATAAGTAGTTCGCAACACAGCACCACACTCGTCCCCCCTTTTAATAAGCTGTCGTCGTGGTCCTTCAAAACAGAGCTCCTGGTCAGTTAATATCACCTTCCGTATTCCGTGACACGCTACACTATGCCGGATTACCACTTCGGTCATCGTTCTTGATCACTGGTCTGGAATGGATATGGCATCTATCCAACGTGTAGCGTCCACAAGTTCCCGATGCTGGAACACGGCGGCAGGCACACACTCGATAAATTGCGACGCCAAAGACTGTGCCCCGTCCACTCCTCACGGCGCAATCCGGTGAGCTCCACAGCAAGCACCAACAGGTCACCATCGGCCGACAGCCGCGCCAACCGGAACCTCTGCGGCGCCTCCTCCCTGTCCGCTGGGCTGTCGAACTCCATTATCAGCCGCCCGGTGACCGTCTCCCACGCCGTCTCCTTGGTGGCACCGTCCAGGCTGTCGTGCACCGCCTTCTCCTCACCTCCCCACAGCGTCCCCAGCACCGTCAACTCCGCCCCAAGCCCCCACCAGCTCCACCGTGGCCCCAAACTCCTCCAGGAAGCTCCGCCAATCCCCGTCCTGCAACTCCTTCGGCCACGGGAGCCCCTTCCTTCGAGCAGGCAGCGACACCAAATGTAGTGAATGAGAACACAGGTGGGGGCAACCGAATTGTATTTAACGAAAATTACAGAGTTAGTCAGTAAAATCGGAAAACCATATCGTAAATCGTTCATTTGCAAAAGATCAGTTCATCCTATGGAACTGGACTGTTCCTGTTGCCAAACATCAATCCATTGTCACTCTTCATGCGTTTCATACAAATTCCATTGTTTTCTGACTCTTCCTTTCTTGATCTTCCCCCCATATTATGCTACCAGACTTTACGTTGACACTCACGCTATATACTACTTATAAGTAGTTCGCAACACAGCACCACAGTAGGAGTAGTAGTTGTGGTAGTAAAAAGATTAAGATTAAGATCAATAGATGAAGTATTGAAACTTCATCAGTTGAGGCGGTTGGGACATGTGTTACAAATGCCCGACCACCGACTGCCTCGACGAGCTATGTTTTTTGGTGTAGGAGTAGATTGGAAGAAAGCTAAGTGCGGCCAAACCAAAACATGGCAGCAATCCATGAAATCACTGACAAGTGGACTGAGTCATGTTGGCAGATGTAGGCTACGTGGTTTGGGTTCGTGAGACGTAAGTTACCAATGGTTGGAGACCTTGAACGACATGGCTGAAAACCGTTTGCAATGGCGCAGGTGCATTTACTCTTTGTATTCTGTGAAATCCTAATCTTCCGAATTCGTCATTATCTCTATCTTTCTCTTTCTAAGTTTATCTCACCAACTAATACTTCTCGAATCATATCTTCGAACCCTAATCTCTTCGATTACTGCCAATACTTTAACTACCTCTACTACTATGGGATTTGAATTTACAATCGCTTCTCTGTGCTAATTTGGTATGGCAACTCGAACTGATATGCATACGTACGAAGTTCGACGTTGTAACTGACTGACTGAAAAATGATTAAGCATAGGCAATATGATTCTAGAGTTGATCAGTTCACAGAATAAAAAGGATTGTGATACTTGACAATAAAGGAAAAATGGTAAGTGAAAGCATCTATGCTACTGTGGCTGTTTCTAGCTATATGTTCCAACATCTCCAACCATTGATAGCAATCATCGGGCGAAGCTCAATCTCATGTATTCTGTATTTAGTTTATCTACAATCAGTCACTTATGTATTGATGTTGTGTTTATTATTTTAGTATATCTTTGAGTTACATCATCAACTAAAGTAATTGTTTGCTGTATTTATTTTTCAGACTTCCAGTTTCGATCCAGATAGTGTTGATTTGTACACAGGAGTAAGTTGATTTACTTTATTAACCAATTTTTACTTATAACTGACTATCATGGTTAGAAACCTTCTACGTTGTAATTGACTGACTGACTGATATTATGTTATAGACCATTGCAAAAGTTATATGAGGAAGATCTTGTGGAGGCATTGTTTTTTTAAGATTGTAATAGTTCAAGCACAACTTTAGACTCTTTGATTGAAGCTGAGTATTGAACAACCAAGTATATCCCTAGTTGATATGTTGCAAGTAATAAGAAACGCGTATACCTTATCCTAATTCTAATCACTATATCTAATAAATATTAATTATTGAATCAATCGTTTAAATATTTTTTCGCATAACTATTTTTGGATAGACATTATCGACAGTTAGGCCATAAGCATAATTTAATTTCTGAGTTTGCATTTGCAAAGTTGCTTTGAATTATTTTATCAAAGGTCTGATGCCTTGGTTCAACTTTCTAAACCATCCGTCTTGTTTTTTTGTGTGTGTATGTTGAGCAAACAAAATTGATTACTTTTATTCTTTTTTTTTTTGAAAAAAATTCCACATAAACCAAATTTTTATTATTCTCATTGAAATTGTTTAAAAATCTGCATCACTTTTATGTGTGAATAAAGAATATTAAAAAATAACATAGAAATTTTCTTCTCAGGTCCTACTAATCGTATCTATCTAAATTTTACTTAATCATAAAAAGTGGCTATGTTTAAGATAGAATATATTGCTTCAAATTATAACATGTAAATTCAGTATTGTCCATTGCTGTATAATATAGAAGTGGTTAGTGTTGAGATGATATTACTATGCAGAGTTGGCTTGAATAAGTTTTTATACAATTAGATTTTGTAGATTAATGATCTGAATAAAAATATTCAATCAACTAGGGTCAGATAGAGAGAGAAATAATCATACGATTAATTACAAATTCGATCAAATCTAAAGTGGAAGATTAAATAAATTCTGTATTAAAGTTTTATTAATTCATTAAGAAATAAATGAAATAAGGTGAGCGTTTAGTAATTTAATCGTTTATTAGAAAGATTAATAGTGCTGTGTGTTAAACTAGTAATAAAAAAAAGAATACAATGAAATAAAACATAATACAGCAAAGACAATAATATTTGACTAAGGAAAGGTGTATGGTACATTCGTCAAATTCTGTCATCCTATAGTGGAGATTATCATTGATTTATTGGTTGTGAGGGATTGACTAAGGGAGGAAAAGAGGGATATATAGAGGGCCCAGCCACTGACTGCTTCGTCGAGCGATTTTTGTGTTTTAGGAGTAGTTTGGAAGAAAGCTAGGGGCTGCCAAACCAAAACATGGCACAAATCCATGAAATCACTGACAAGTGGACTGAGTCATGTTGATAGATGTAAGCTACCTGGTTGCGGTCCGCGAGATGATAGTAACCGGTGTTTAGAGACCTTGAACGACCGCTCAAAACCGTTTGCAATGGTGCATGTGCATCCATTTGTTGTGTTCTATGAAATCCTAATCTGAATTCCTCATTACCTCTACCTTTCTCTTTCTAAATTTATCTCACTGAATCATACTTCTCGAATCATAACTTCGAACCCTAATCTTCTCCAATAATGATAATACTTCTACTATCTCTACCACTATGGGATTTGAATTGATAGTTATATATCTATGCTGATCGGGTATGGCAACCTGAACTTATGTGCGCACTTATGAAGTTCCACGTTTTAACTGACTGGCTGACATAGTGGTCTGTACATAGTTTCAGATTCGCAAACCGAATGGCTATTACTTCCCTTGTTTGAATTACTTTGAGTTGGATTGATTTTAGCCGAAAATTATTCAATGTTATTGAATTATTTTCATTGAAAAATGATAATATGGTTTGGATTAGGTGAGAAGATTTTTGATGTTCATGATCAGTTCTGTGTTTACTCAAGTTATTAACAATGAAGTGAGATTTAATTCACTCATTCGACTCATATGGTTTATGAAGTTTTCTTAACTACATTTGTATTGTCGACGAAACAAGAGAAAGCACATACACGAAACAACACGATGATTCTATTTTTTGTATATATAATATATATATATATATATATATATATATATATATATATATAGTATATATATAGTATATATTCATATAAAGCTCATTAACAGAAATATTTGGCATTCAGTCACAGAGTTCTGAGGTATTTTTACTGAACTTTTATATAACATTAACAAGTACAGAACAGTGATTAGTGAATTTCACATTAGTTCAACTGTCAGTATCACGTTAATATGGTATGATGCGACTATTACTAATAATACTGCCACTACTATGTCTTGAGTTGTTAGATAAATAGATGATTACAGACTCAAATAATTAATACTTACTTATGGTAAAATTAATGAGCATGAAATGATTTTTAGAAGAGAGAATGGTAAATAAAGGTTTTGAATCATTCAGGCCATAGAGATAATAAATAATGAATTAATTATATAATGAAATAATTGAACATAAATTATTATCTATATGAGTTGAGGTCACAGTCAGTTAAAAAAAAAATAGAGTTATACATTTAAAGGGAGTGATGTAATTAAAATAAGAGAGAGAAACAGTGAAAAAATTGTAAGAATGGTGTGCTTAACTGGCGATTTGTAATTCTTTCTTTCCGGAGATGCATAAGTCAAGTTTGGAGTATTTAATGGCTATATCCTTTGTAGAATTTCGACTGCTGATTGATAATGGTGAAAGATTTCAGTCTGTCAACTTGATGCCGTGTCACAGAGATGTTTTAGTTTCGTATTTTGCCATGTTCTTACAGGGATTTTATTGATCTCCTGTAGTGAAGGAGAACACAGGTGAGGGCGACCGAATTGCATTTATTTTCAAATTACAGAGTTAATTGGTAAAGTTGGAAAACCATATCGTAAATCGTTAATTTGCAAAATATCAATCTATCATATGGAACTGGACAGTTCCTGTTGCAAAACATCAATCCATTGTCTGACATTTCACCACTGTTCATGCGTTTCATACAAATTCCATTGTGTTCCCGCTGTTCCTTTCTTGATCTTCCCCCATCTTCTGCTGCCAGACATTACGTTTTTACTCGCGTCATATACTACTTATAAGTAGCGCGCACCACACTCCCATATGTGTAAGATTAATCTTGAGTTGGTTATTATTTATAAGAGATTTATTTAACCTAGACGATCTTGATAAAAACACTAATTAACAGTGTTAGTTATTATTTTGTTAGAGGTAGTATTAACTAGTAGCAGTAGCAGTAGTAGTTATATTTACTTGTGAATTACCTTAGTTTTAGAGAATAGAACTTTTTAGGTCAATTTAATCAATTTGTATGTTTGACAGCATTACACAACACCATAAATTGAAATTATAATCGAAAAAGTTGTGCACAAATTTTCTAACACACACTTACTTACTTACTTACTGTCACCCTCAGTGGATCATAGACCGCCGACCAGTATTCTCTAGCTTACTCTCTGTCGTGATAAATATTTGTAGCTGTGCGGAATGTTAAATTACAATATTTTTCTTATCAATTTAATTAGTTTAATTATTCTTTTCCGGTTATAATAATCAATATTTAGTTTTGCTTACCTATCTCTTATACTCATCATGATAACTATTACTACTATATATATATATATATATTTTACAAATTTTTCTAAACAAATTCTATCTTTAAGGGAATATTTTTGGGCTGTGAATTCGGTATAGCATGTCTTTTTATTTGGGCTATTGGTTTATTGGCTGCTGGACAATCCTCCACAATGACCGGGACATATTCTGGACAATTTGCTATGGAAGGTTTTTTAAACTTAAAATGGAAACGTTGGCAACGTGTGTTACTAACACGTTCTATAGCTATATTGCCAACTATTTTAACAACGGTATTTAGAGGTAATCTCTCTCATATATATATATATTCCCATTGTGAAAATTAGAACAACACATATAAGCGAACAATATTGCTGTTTCCGATTAGATCGTCATCAGACTTTACTCTAATGTATATGAATATTTATATATGAAAATGTTAAACCAATCAAGGCAATTTTCGTTAATGATCACAATGAAATAAAGTAAATTACGTCACTACACATAATAGGTAAACATACAAATTGATAGTAGGAAGCGCAGGTGTACTGATATTAATAAAAAAAATAAAATACGATAACAAAAGTTTTTATCAATGGTTGAACATTGGAGATAGTAGGTCAAACGTGGACAGAATAATCATTAAAAAACATTAAAACCATTACGCAATAAGAAGTGTGTACAAACAAATTCAGGATGTGGAAATAATGCTTATAATAACAAAATGAAAAATACAAAAAATTATTCAGAACGTTTTTTTAAGCTATATCCCGTCATGGAAGGGGGATAGGGGTGTTACGAATTTCTTCTGAACACAGAGATTGAGGTTGAATGTACAAATTCTTATGGCTTTTGCTATATGTTGTAGGAGATGGGATCGAACTCCGTTGGAAACTGATGAATACTGACTCAAATTGCCTCGATTGATTGAACATTTTCATATAAATATTCATGTATCTATTAGAGTAAAGTAACCTAGGTTTAAGGGTTTCCTGTTGGCTATCTTCGGCTACTTGATATTAAAGCACAGTATAATATGTTGAGTCACCTTTACTACCTCTTCTACTAATGGATTTGAATTGACAATTACATCTCTGTGCTTGGCGGCGACATGAACTGATGTACTTACGTACGAAGTTCTACGTTGCATCTGTCTGTCTATATTTTGAGTCACTATAAAATTACAATTTGATGAATGGCATTCTCCGAAGCTGAACGAACATCACATTGCATGTTTCTGTTATTGATCTTAACTAATTTTAAGTGGTGATGCAATCTATATTTTTAATTGTTGTTGGTGTTTATGTGTAGGCATTGATGATTTAACTGGAATGAACGATTTCTTAAATGTACTGATGAGTATTCAACTACCATTCGCTGTTATTCCATTATTGACATTCACTAGTAGTAGATCAGTCATGGCAGAATTTAAAAATTCTATGTAAGTTACACTTTCTTTTCGTTTTGTATTTGAATCTTGTTATTTTTTTTTATATACTTCTCTATGAAGTAAGTGCTGATCATGTGATTCTGACTATCAGCTCTTGCAACACATCACCTTTGACATGTTCTTTTTATTATAACGATGTATCACTCCTACACTTAATGAATTATAGTTGAATCAATGTAGTGCTAATCATGTGATTGTGACCTTCCGTTCTTGCAACACTTCACCTTTGACACGCTCTTTGTCATAAAGATGTATCACTCCTACACTTAATGAATTATAGTTGAATAAATGTAGTGCTAATCATGTGATTGCGACCTTCAGCTCTTGCAACACATCACCTTTGACACGTTCTTTGTCATGAAGATGTATCACTCCTACACTTAATGAATTATAGTTGAATAAATGTAGTGCTAATCATGTGATTGTGACTATCAGCTCTTGCAACACATCACCTTTGACATGTTCTTTTTATTATAAAAATATATCTTACCTACACGTAATGAGTTATAGTTGAATAAATTTAGTCTGAAAATATTTGAAACCTAACGGTACGGCAATTATTCATTATTTGTCAACTCGGTATACTTTTGACAATAAAAAGCAGCAATGTTAAAATTCAATGCAACATATGAATGAAATGGCAAAAAGTCAGTCGAACTAAAAGAATCACCCATCACATTACATATAAACTTCCTATATGCTTACTAAAATCAGCTATTGAAATGAGGAAACAGTGATTGAGGATGGATTGAAAATATGCGCACAATTCAAGTCAGATGTGTTAAACCAATCACATGTTCTTAGAAAGTCAAACCGTATTTCGACCAATGACATGCATTCGTTAGCGTCTCAGTTATCATTTGTCCTGTATCTGATTGACCTAATGTAATGCAATGAGAATTTATTACATTTTAAATACAAAACTGAATATCATGAATCCGGTAAACAAACGACTTCACTTACAGTGGATCGATTAAAACGCAGTAAATACAATAATCGAAAGTCGAATAAATCAAATTGATAATCAATAAGTTAGTTACAAGTAGTGGTGGATATCCTGTCAACTTTCCCTCATTTATCCAACCAAGAATAAATAACTTATAAGAACCGCCGATAATATATGTTTACTGATTTGCTTATGAGCACAATTCAAAACACAAATCATTGGACTCATGCTAAAAAGTTGTATATGTGAAAACTCATGCTTAGAAAACAATTACTACGATGTAAACCATTTACTTCGGTAGTTAATAGATTTGCCTCAACTGCACAATATCGTTTGCCTATTTGATCGATCGTATATTCCCATAAGTTTTTGTGTGAATTAATTCAACAAATGTAGTAAATTGAAAAGTTTCATTTATATACATAATTGTGTTGTTTTCACTTTCTAAATACATGTTTAGAACATGATCTTATTGAATATTTTCCAGGTAAATAGTTTAGAGTACAGTGTCATCATCTTGGTGAAATTCCAATGATCATTTCTGTGGTTAAGCTTCTGCATGCCGTTTATTCTTTGAGACTACTACTGTCACTATTTGAAGTAAATAACTATACATATTGCACAAAACAGATTATATTCATTAAAATTCCTAAACTCCCCTATATTACTCGCCCTGATTACTACTATTAGGTAACGTCCCACGGTGTATAAATATCAGAACAGGTTATGAAGGGTCGACGACCGTTTAAATGTTGCAAAACACCGATCACAAAGCCAAAAGCATACGAAGCAAATGCGAACCCATAAGCGAATGTCGACGAACAAATAAGTAGCACTTAAAATGTTCATATCTACGGAAAATGTATGAGTAATCTAATTATTTAAGTGACTAACATTAAAGCTAGTGAGAGGAATATGTGTGTAGGCTTTAATCAATGGTCAAGCATATATACTCTTACAAACACGATAATAAGAATAATAGTACAAAGACATAGACGAATTGTTGCTGTTCAAATTACTCTGTCAAATGAGTCAATCGAAGGGCTTAAACGTAAAGAAACTCAAATTTATATGAGGTTCTATAAACATTTCAAGTGTTGACTTGATTGTTAAGATCATAGCCAACTTCGGTAATCATTTCTTTCATCCAATTTATGTTGTTTGCACATGTTCAAATTTCCAAATTGTTTGTGATCAGAATGTAATTTTGTGTAACCTGATTTTTTGACTTAGCGAAATTTCAAGCTTGAGATAGAATCATAGCGGTTGTGCTTCGCTAACTTAATTTACTAACAAGATTATTCCTAGTTTATAGTACTATTCAGTATTATAATGATAATGATAATCACCAAGTCACCAGATATTTGTACATGGGTTGCGAGAAATAACTTTGTCACCCAGTTACCCAAAATGAAATAGGTGGAACGGAGTTTGAACCTAAAACTTATTGATTGAAAATCGAATGCTTTAACTACTCGTCTACTGCTCCACTTTTATATTGAAAATTATAAATATATCCTGCAAGAGGACAAATCTACGTAAGTTTTCAGTAAAATGAGATTCCATCCAGGCTGTTTATAGCCTTGTAGTGAAGGAGAACACAGGTGAGGGCAACCGAATTGTATTTAACGAAAATTACAGAGTTACTCAGTAAAATAGGAAAACCACATCGTAACCCTTAATTTGCAAATCTTCAATCCATCATCAATCCATTGTCTGACATTTCACTTTTCATGCGTTTCATACAAATTCCATTGTGTTCCCGCTCTTCCTTTCTTGATCTTCCCCCATCTTCTGCTGCCAGACATTACGTTTACACTCGCATCATATACTACTTATAAGTAGCGCGCACCACAGCCTGACCAACATAGCTCAATCTTGTGACACAACCAAACAAGTACCAAAGATATTAGTGGATCAGGGTTCTACATAACCTGACATGTCTTAGCAAACAACTTCGGGCGTAAAAATTACCCAGAAATGTGTCACTAGAAGAAGACACAAACCTCTCTTTGTGCCAGATAAATCTGAAACGTAAATTTCAAACTACGTATGTCAAATTTCCAAACCTACTAAAAGCATTCTATTTGACTAGGAAACATTTGAATCTTCTGTGTTATCGCTGGGGCTAATTATTGGCACTTCATAAAACCTCATATGTGTTAATCCTGAATTGCTACTGCAGCCACCTCCTAATGCCTCATTTCTACCTGTTCGATTAAATTTTTTAAATCTCTTCATATTTACTATGTTCCCATATAAGATACTGTTACGTACACGCTCTTGCGTCATCGTTAATTCAATGTGTGTATACTTTATTTTAAAGCTTCGCTGCTTAGTAAATTTAGCTGTCGGTATAGGATGTCAGTACACGAACTGAGCTACTTAGACGGTTATTTTATTGGAGAGGCATGTTAATGAAACCATCAAGTATATACACACTTCATCTGTGGACACTTGTCAAACAATGCATACTTACTTAAGTCACTTTGTATTTGTGTCAGATAATTCCAACAAGTATAGCTGATTTTATCGAAACTTGTTAGCGGGACATAGATAGGATTAAAGCAGGATTGCGTTAGCTGCACACTGATTGGCTAATTCTTATCCAATCAGCTCTAGTCGATACTTGGAGGACATTCTAGAATCTCCTCATGTAAAAACTATAAAGATACTAACGTTGTTCCTATTTCGCCTTCGCTTCGGCTTCTTACTTCCATTTAACCTTGCTATTTGGAATATAATCTCTTCCCTGTTCAAACATGTTCTGATTTGGGAACTTGTCGAGTGGATTGGTATCCTAGAATACTAAGCAATAGGAATAGCTGGGTTCAACTAAGATAGAGAAAATTATAGCAAAACTCTTTACAACTTTAGTTGTCTTATTAATAAGAAAGACTACATTATCCTAAGAAATTTTATGGTCATATTTTGTACATTTATTGCGTTTTGTTTTTATGTCTTTTTGAAAAGTAATAAATATCCGTTTTTTGTTAATTCCAATGCATGCTATATATTATTACATGGAACTTTTTTACATTCTAAATAATTTGTCATTAAATTTTGTTTTAATTTTTACATAAATGATTAAATTCATGATTGATTATTTCATTATGATTACTTTAAATTGAATTAAATAAAATTATATTTTCATCCGTTTCTCATCTCCCAATGATATTTGTTTTATCGAAATGAATAAATCATATACTGTGTTTAAGCTGATTTTTATTGTCACTGAGTATCACCAATCCTAATTCACAGTGTTTTTTTTAAAAATTTATTGCTTACGTTTGTAAATATTTACATTATATCAAGAAAGGTACAATAGATGATTTAGTATGTAGATTGATATTGATCCGTACACTAAATATTGGTTTGTCTACCATGTAAACTATATTAGTAGTTTGATTTGATGTATACGTTTGTTATACTTCAATAAATAATGATCTAATCTTCGTCCTGCTTTATCAACTTGAAGCTTAAACTTATCATTTCAATGTTTTTATTTTAACACGCAGACATTGATGCAGAAGGGCACTAAAATATTTATGCGGTACACAAACTATTGATTTTGTGAATGGACTAAAATACTACATGGGGACTCAACCTGAACCAGATGGCTTCTTTAGAGAGCTACTCCTCGAGACTTTGACCTACAGGTCTAATCCACTAGGCAATGGAGCAGAGCAACCTTAGGAGTTTCAATCCTATAGTAACCGGTGACCAACACTAGGTTCGGACGCCATTCTTTGCGTAAGAATCCTGGAGTAAATGTTCTTTCATTAGTTTGGAATTAGAGTTTTCCAACCCACCTAAGTGGATCCATTTAGGTAGCAGCCAACCTGGAAAAAGCGTTGGACACTCAACTTTTTTCCTCTCGATTTCGAATCGGGAATGGAACTGATTTACTTTTGTTCATGATATGATGAAAACGACTCGTCCCTGTAATTATACTTCATTTTATTTTCAAGTCTAGTTGTTTCAAAAACACACTTGATCAACATAGTTTAATTTCGACCGCTAGTTGTAACTTCTATGTTATTAACTGACTTTAGGAAATAGGAAAAGTACCATTATTGATAGGGATTTTCACCATGGTAAGATTGTAATTTCAAGTCACATTTTCCCAGCCTCAGCTTAAACACAGTTATTGTGTTATTTATTATTGATGATCATTTGTGATTGTTCATCAGTGAGTTTTCTTTATAAAAGTATACTGCTGCTCATTGTATAACTATTTAATTTAATTAAATTTAATTTAATTTTAACAGTTATAATTTTTGTCATTATCCCAATCATCAATCTTTTTCATTTTGTCTATTTAATAAGTTCTATGAAAGTTTCATGTTCCATTTACATAATATTGGCTTCTGTTTTTTTTTTATTTTTATTTTACTGCCTTTTTCTATAGTCCTGTGTCAATTTTCGCTTATCTAATATCCATAGCAGTTGTGTCAATTAATTTATTCTTGGGTAGTGTTGTAATTAAATCACGTTTACCGCATCATTGGGCAGCATATTTAGGAATGGGATTATTATTTGTATGTTACTTGGGATTTGTATTTTATTTGGTAAGTTTTAAATTTTATTATTATTATTATTATTTATGTTGAAAGATGATAATAATCGATTGTTAGAGACCTTGAATAATGACATGGCTCAAAATCGTTCGCAATGGCGCCGGTGCATTTATTCTGTGTGTTCTCTCAAATCCTAATCTTCTAGATTCTTCAATACCTCTAGTTTTTTGACTTTCTAAACTTATCTCACTGAATCATACTTCTTGAATAATATCTTCTCATCCTAACCTCTCTGTTTACTTCTAATACCTTTACTACCTCTTTTACTACTATTGGATTTGAATTGACAATTACATCTCTGTGTGTGCTGATGTGGTATGGCGGCGACATGAACTGATGTACTTACGTACGAAGTTCTACGTTGCAACTGACTGACTGACTGACTGATTTATGTTGCAAAACGATGCTTTTGTTTTATTTTCAAAATTTAATTCCAGTGGTGAAGTGATAAGTAAAAATAATTGTAGGCTTATGTTTTTAAACACTCACTTCATGATTAAACTATATACAACTTGTTTACTTCAGATATTATCATCAACAAAGTTGAGCATTTTTTTTTGTGACACGTGACTAGAATTATCAAATCTTCATATTATTGGATTTTTATTACTTAATACATTTTACTGAGCGGCGTAGTATAGAAATATTGATTAAGCACAGCTGACATATTTTAGTTTCAGTGTTTGTAATTTCTCTTTTTTTCATTATAGAGTTAATGAGACTTTTGTTTATCATTAAAATCGTGAATCAATCATTGTTAGACCACGCGGAAACACTGAACGACCGTTTCGTCCTAGTATGGGATTCTTCAGCAGTGTGCGTCCACGAAAATTGAACCCAGAACCTATAGTCTTGCGCGCAAGCGCTTAACTTCTGGACCATTGAGCGGCCGTTTATCGGTGTTAATGTTTAACTATGATCAATCTAAGGTCCTGGGATTGATTCCCGCGGCAGGAGGGTTGTGGATGCACTCTTCTGAAAAGTAAAATACTAGGATGAAACGGCCGTCCAGTGCTTCCATGTATCGAATGATGGTTTAACAATGATAAACAACAATCTTCCTTACTATTTGGTGAAAACCTTTCCACAGTGTCGGCAGCCAGGAAGTGACATCCACCCTCATCCCCGTAACAACACATGAGACCAAATTAGTCACGATCTAATCATTCCTATACCACGCTCTCAATAACATGTTGGAGCATTGAATGTCCAGACTATGGGCCAAATGGGACAGCTGGCTTCCATAGCGAGGGTTCTAGAATCCCGTGTCATCAATGTATGCTACATCTCCGAAATGCGCTTATACAGGACCCGATTAGCGTCATTTATTCGACCTCATGTCAAAATATTCACCTTGATTTACGCTTCATGTATCTTGAAGCCCCATATCTGCGTCCCATGGCCTCGCTGGTTAGGTATAGCATTGAGTTCTAAAGTAGAACCAGTTCTCTTAGACTGGATCCCAGTACATAGTCGCCTATGTGCCGTCCGAATAAATGGTACAGTAAGGACTCGGAAAGATAGGGACACTAATCGTTGGCTCTTCATCGTCGCTGCCTACGCTCCCACTGACTGCAGCTCTGGTGAGGTAGAAGATGAGTTTGGCAGAAAGCTTTTAGACCTCCTTCAAAACGTTAAGCATTCCGATGTAGCAATCGAGGTCGGTAACTTTAATGCTCAAGTAGGTAGACTAAATGAAAGGCAAACACCTATGTGGACCTTATGGTGTTGCGGCTTATCGAACAGATAATCGCGACCTTGTACTGCAGCTATGCTCAGATAACCACCTCTGATTCGTAATGAGGTTGAGAAGGCTATAGGAAATCTAAAGCGAGGGAGAGCAGCGGGTCCTGATAGATTGACCCCTGAGATTTTTTAAGGATGGTGGTCCAGTTTTAGCAGTTCGAGTGACCGAGCTCTTAGGTAGAATCTGGGAACTGGGTGTAATTATATCTGACTGGTCTCAATCACTAATTGTCCCAGTTTATAAGAAAGGACAACAGTCCTCTTGTGACAATCACAGATGAATCAGTCTAACTAATGTAGTATCTAAAATTGGGCCTCAATAATACTCCGACGCCTAACTAAAGCTCGTGAAGAGCAGACTCGACAGAACGTGGATTTGTAGACCAGTTATTCACTCTACATCAGGTGCTGGAACATAAACACAAATTTCAACGTCCTACAACAGCAGTATTTTTTGCCCTTAAAGTACCATTCGACTCTGTTGATTGCGAGGTTCTATGTCACCGTCTGTCGTTGAAAGGAGTAACGGAGAACTGCATAAACCTTATACTTTATGAGTGTGAAACGTGGCCAGTAAGAATAAAGGACATATATAGGGTAGATGATATTACATCTAACTTATGTAAGTTAGACATTAACACTGTTGAAATGTAATTTACTTTCTATAATTTCTGATGTTAGATGTTTCGACCATCTTCAAATAAATGATGTTTGATTCCACTGTGTAGAGAAACAAACTCTTATATCATCATGCATTACATTTGATGATTTAGTGAACCAATTGTATATCAAAAGTATATTCTATTCTACTTATTTCACATCTATGTGATTTCTGTGAACCTTAAAATTGATGCATATCATTGAGATAATGTGATGCATACTTTTGATTGTATTGTATTTCTCAAGACAGTTAGTTTAATTAATGAAATGTTCATTGTTGTTCTGGATAACATCATAAGAATGAAGAAGGTCAATTAGTCAATCAATCAATCAGTCAATCACATAATCAGTATTCAAATCAATAAAATAACGAACTAGCATATCAAGATAAATGAAAACGATAAAACTATCGGAGAAAATCAATGCTAAACAATGCTTTCACACTTGTGTAATAACTAAGAAGCTCATTTACACATGAATTAGGCATTGACAATTCTGTCCAAAACAGTAGTAAATACTCTACAATTAAAAACTATTTAAACCAGACTTAGAACAATATCTTTGAATGATATATAAACTATAGAATAACCATACTGATGATGACTAGAGTAACAGCATACTACGAATGTTTTATTTTTGGTACTAGGACACTTTTACTAACACATTCTTCATAAGATGATTATGTATTTAGTCTTTGATTTGAAATACAACGATTAGTTTGCTTTCAACATATTTCTGTTGTTGAAATTAACGATAGATTGTAGCAACGTTCACCAAATTCTAAGTGATATTTATACAAATGTTCACTATTAATACCATGCTAGGTAAGAATGGCAGATCAATAGACGCAGTAGTGGCACTTCATCAGTTGAGGTGGTTGGGACATGTGTTGCGTATGCCCAACCAACGACTGCCTCGACGAGCTTTGTTTTGTAGTGTAAGAGTAGGTTGGAAGAAAGCTAGGGGCGGCCAAACCAAAACATGGCAGAAATCCATGAAGTCATTGACGAGTGGACTTAGCCATGTAGGTAATTGTCGACTACCTGGTTGAGGTCCGCGAGATGATAATAATCGATGGTTAGAGACCTTGAATGACATGGCTCAAAATCGTTCGCAATGGCGCCGGTGCATTTATTGTTTGTGTTCTCTCAAATCCTAATCTTCTGGATTCTTCAACACCTCTAGTTTTGACTTTCTAAACTTTTCTCATTTAATCATACTTCTTGAATAATATCTTCTCATCCTAACCTCTCCCATTACTTCTAATACCTTTACTAACTCTTCTACTTTATGGGATTTGAATTGACAATTACATCTCTATGCTGATGTGGTATGGCGGCGACATGAACTGATGTACTTACGTACGAAGTTCTACGTTGCAACTGACTGACTGACTGACTATTAATACGTATTTTACTTTCGGATTTTCTACTTTTTAGCTTTAAAAATTATTTATTCTCAGGTGTAAATTATTTCTGTTTATTTTTTCTTAACCTATTTAGATTTGGTTCGGATTCATGCATGTACGGCGTTCTAGAAGAGTATGTTTATTGTATCATTCGCATTGATTTTTGATGATATTGATATTGTCTCTGTTTTGTTTTGTTTTGTTTTGTTTTCTGCTTAGAAATACATGTTCTTTTTCTTTTGATTTAAACATTATTTATTGGATTTATTTAGTTGATAGTACAGTACAAGACTTGTATGGCTTCACATCGCGCTCTGTCTCTTCACTTATCGATTTGTCTTTTTTTTCTCCAGTCTTAATGTGTTCGTTCGTTATTGAGGTATTTTACACTGTTGGCGTGAATTCTTTAATGAAAGGTGTTATTTTTTGAGTTTTTTTTGTTCTTCCTAATTTTGTTAGTAGTCTGTTCTGTCAATCTCTTTAGTGTGATTGGGTGTTTTTCGAATAATTTTTACACAGGGTAAAATAACCGTAACTTAAGGTGCCATTATCTGTTTGGCTGGAATTAGAAAATGGACAGTGTGACATTATTATTATTTTATGTTTAGAGTTTATATATATATTTGCTCATGAGTGTATTTGATCAGTTTCCTCCGTTGGGATTTTGGTTGTGCACCCAGAACAAACTCTATAATATTTGTCTATAATTGCATTGTATCAGAAAAATGAGAACTTTTTAAACTAAAGATATACCTATGGAATAAGTTATTAGTTGCGTGAATCAAATAGCTTGGTAGATGATAACAAGTTGGAACTTGATGCATTAACTTGTGAGTTTAAGTTCCAGTTTGGATATCAACTGAAATTTAGGCGCATCCATTTGAAGACTCCACAATTAAAGGGAATACACATATTGAGTCCGTGGTGGAGTTTGGTTGTGAAACTTTCATTGTTCTTCTTAGCAAAATCATCAGCACTAACTTCAGGTAGAAGTGATGTATTCGAATTTCTCCACATGTTACTCATAGCTTGTCTTGTTCCACAACCAAAACATCCAGCTCAGAAGATGAAACCCCATCACAGTCATCCATCTGAGCTACAAATTTTCTCCACCATCTCAAACGTATTGAGTTTTTCTTTTAGTCACAGTTTAGAATTGTAAAAATGTTTATTCATTAATTCTCAATGAGATTCTAGTTGATAACAGCTAGTACTGTTAGACTGTTTCGGTTTATTAGTTCAGTAATCTAATATTCAGTTGTATTAGTTTGGTGGTATACAGTAATGCTAGGTACAATCATAGTCCTTCTTAAAATCAGATGTTAATCTATTATCGCTATTACTAACAATGAATGCGTAATAGATGAACAACTTTGAAAATAAACTCTTTCTGTCTATAGAAAGAGTGAAGGGGAACACAGGTGGGGCAACCGGATTGTATTTAACGAAAATTACAGAGTAGTTACTCAGTAAAATAGGAAAACCATGTCGTAAATCGTTAATTTGCGAAATATGAGTCCATCATATCGAACTGGATTATTCCTGTTGCAAAACATCAATCCATTGTCACTATTCATGCGTTTCATACAAATTCCATTGTTTTCTAACTCTTCCTTTCTTGATCTTCCCCCATCTTCTGCTGCCATACATTACGTTGACACTACTTATGAGTAGCTCACATCACACTCGTCCCCACTTTTAATAAGCTGTCGTCGTAGTCTTTCAAAACAGGAACCCTAGTCAGTTAATATCATCCTCCGTATTCTGTGACACGCTACAATATGCTGGATTACCACTTCGGTCATGGTTCTTGCCCGCTGGTCTGGAATGGGTACGGCATCTCTCCAACGTGTAGCGCTTACTAGTTCCCGCTGCTGGGACACGGCGGCAGGCACACTCTCGATAAATTGCAACGCCAACAACTGTGCCCCCGACTTCCCATCCATATTCGGCAGCGTACGGCGCAGCAACATCGTGAGCTCCACAGCCAGCACCAACGGGTCACTCAGCCGACAGCCTCGCCAACCGGAACCTATGTGGCGCTTCCTCCCTGTCCACCGGGCTGTCGAACTCCGTCATCAGCCACCCGGTGACCGTCTTCCCGGCGGAACCGTCCAGGCTGTTGTACACCGCCTTCACCTCACCTCCCCGCAGCGTCCCCAGCACCGCCAACTTCGCCCCGGGCCCCTTCACACCCACTAGCTCCACCGCGCCCTCAAAATCCTCCAGGCAGCTCCGCAAATCTCCGTCCTCCAACTCCTTCGGTCACGGGAGCTTCTTCCTTCGAGCAGGCAGTGACAGAAACTAATGTTTAACATATCTAAGATATTACCAATAATATGATATTGATGCTCAAAGTCGGTAATTATTTCAAATTCATATATTTCATTGTTGATCGCACTTGAATATACATATAATTGATTGATAATGTTGTAAAATACAGGTGTCATAAAGAAATTAATCGATAATTTCCCTTTGAACTTTAAAGCCACTCCATGATAAGCAAAGGAACTAAAATGAACGTCTCACTATGTTTTTTTCTTAGTATACGTCTGCCTTACCTGATATCGCTACAATGTTAATTGTGATAGTTTATATTTTCTCCGACTTTTTTTTCCTATATATATATATATATATATATATATATATATATATATGTTTTAGATAGCTTGACGAAATGTTTTTAAAATCAGTAGTCAATCATCATTGTTAGACCACGATTAGAAACCTGGAAGCACTGGACGGCCGTTTCGTCCTAGTATGGGACTCCTCAACAGTGCTCATCCACGACTTCTGCTCCTCGCAGGATTCAAACCCGGGACCTTTGGCATTGTAGGCGAACGCCTTACCATCGGACCACTGGGCCGGCATCCAACGGTGTTAATGTCTAACTCTGATTGATCTAGGGATTTTGCGCGACCTCACCCATTTGTCTTTGGTAGTTACTGCCTACACCCGACAGGGTTGAACTCCACTGGTCACGTCTTCTCAACTGGAACTCCGAGAATTTTGAATCCTGCGAGGAGCAGGAGTCGTGGGTGCGCACTGCTGAGGAGTCCCATACTAGGACGAAATGGCCGTCCAGTGCTTCCAGGTTTCTAATGGTGGTCTAACAATGATGATTGATTAATGATTTCAAATGTGTAAAAACGCAAACCTCCAAAACTGTGCCCCAATATGTTTTTAAAATGTTGATGATGATTTCTTACTGTTTGTTATTTTTCTCTACTAGACTTGCCTTATAGAGTTACTTATGTTTTGTACTTTTATTTTTAAATCTCTCTCTCTATTTAGCAGATCCTTAATGATGTGGTGAAATTGGATATGGATCGATCTCTTTCTGTGGTTGATAGCGGTGCTACTTCTATCAACAGTGGTGGCGGTGGTGATTTGTTGATTAGTGAAAATTCTTCTCGTAACTTGATGATTCATTCTTAAATTGTATATGTGTGTTTGTGTGTGTGCAATGATGCTAAAGAATTTGAAGAGTGATTTAAACAAATATTAATAATATTCAATAGAAAGAACATTTCATTGATCAAACCTTGTCTTTCTTATTCATCTGTACTACTACCACTACTCCGATTATTATTACTACTACTACTAATACTACTCCTACAATATTTAATATTAAATTGAATGACATTTTTCTATATATATGATTGTTTTAATGTACTGTTAGAGCGTATTTTAACGTTCAAACAAAATTTTTAGTTGATAATTTATCGAATCGTAAACAATGAGTGGTGTTTTTTCAATCGATTTATTTAATGTGCACTGTTTGTAGTATTTCTTTTTTTTTTATATGAGTTCTATTTATTTTGAATTATTTGTTATACTGAAATATTTTGCAATATTATTAAGAAGATAAACAGTGCCTAATTTTCTTTGTTCTTTACTAATCGTAATATTATTTGGTCTGTAACATTGAAGTCCAGGTCTGGAACCAGCTTGGTTTACTTGAGTGTGCTCTCCACGAGCTTTAGTTAGACGTCTAAGTATTATCAAGGTTAACAATTGAGATACTATATTATTTAAACAGATTCCTCCGTGATTTTCACAATAGGACGTTTGTCCTTTTCTATAGACCGGGACCATCAGTGATTGAGACCAGTCGGATGCGATTACGCCTGTTTCCCAACCTTGGCCGAAGATCTCAGTCAATCTAACCGCTTAAAAATCTCAGGGGTCAATCTATCAGGACCCGCTGCTCTCCCTGGCCCTAGATTTCCCACAGCTTTTTCAACTTCCATAAGAGTCGGAGGACTTATGTCGATTCGCCATTCAGGTTGACTGGAGATTGTGTGCAACCGAAGTGTGGCTGATGGTCAATTGAACTGGTCCCTGAAGTTATGCACTCATGTACGAAGTTCTACGTTGTAACTGACTGAATCGTAATAGTATAATGATTGCCTGTAGGTTATGAATAACTCTAGCAACTTTAAGAAACGCTCTTTTTACTTAGGTTTTACGCCCATCGGCACTCATTAGCAAGATGTATGTTCATTGAATTTCATAATAATTTATTTGTGCTCCTCTGGATATTATGATCGTTTGTACTCATTTGGACAATCTAAGACACTATTACTGAAGTATTCGATTTGAAGTATGGTCGGATTTATGGGATAAAAAAAATTATCTACTCTTTATAAACTTAAAAATAATCTGCTGTTTACTCTATTGATTTCAATTTTAATATCAAAAAACATATAAAACACATTATAGAAGGAAATCACCTAGTTTGAGATTAGATTTGTCTTTCGATTCGATTTGTCTTTCAGAAATTTTGTCAATCACACGTACTTAAATGGTTTAATTTGTTTTAGTTCACGTTGTTTGTTACGAGAAAAATAATGGTGACTCATAACTACTTTGTAGGTAAAACTAATTATACTTGTACTGAAAATACTCTTAAATCTTCAGATCATATATTGTACAAGTGAATATTTTTTTATGCTCGTCAATTGATATGCTTGAACTATTACGAGTCCACCTTAGTCGGTAAACGAGAGGGAATGATCCAGTGATACGATAGGCTATTCTAATCCGAGCGTCCCAAGGCTCCACTACGCAAAAGAAGTCTTGATATAGCGTGGCAAGTGTATTCCACAAGCACCCAGAAAATCGAGGTTTTCTAAACATACAAATCAACTTTATTTTTACATCATAAAGCCGTCCTTGGGAGAGCTAAAAAAATATCGTACTAGAATAACACATCAACCAATGACGAACAAGGATTTTCCTAGTGAGAAACGTAGCCTCAAGGTCAACTGATCAGCCCATGAATAAAATCCAAAATTAAGACTTTTATCAAGTGAGTTCTGGCGATCTAACGTCCCTAACAGAATTGAAAATATTAACACATCTTTTCAACATTCTCATTTTCTGCTTAGTTGTTGAAATCCTATTTATCCGTGTATATAGGATTTTTGAAAGTAGCTTTATGTGTTCATGGTATCATTCATTTTGCATTTCGTTGAATACAAAGGTGAATATTGTTACTGAACATTTACCGGATATGTATTTCTTACTGGCAAAGTTGTTTGATCAAAAAGAGAATAAATAAGTGTTAGGTTACTATTGTAACTGCACCGAAAATTTTCTATGCATTGAATATAATTAATTTATAGGCAAAGATAGTAGGATAAATGAAGTTATGGTGGTTGCATGAATTATCTGTAGTGAAAATTATGGTTCCCCACACATAGAGTTTGTGAATGATAATTATTGGTGATGTGTATTCAATTTGCAAATTACTGTGAACTATGTTGATTCGTAAATGTTATGCTCGTCACCTGATATGCTTGAAACTATTACGAGTTCACCTTAGTCGATAAACGAGAATGAGACAATCAACCAGTGACACGATAGGCTACTCTGATCCATTGCTCCAACTAACTGAAGAAAAGTTTTGATATGACGTAGAAAGTGTATTCTACAAACACCAAGCAAACAGTGAATCCAAGCGCGCAAATCGCGTTTATTTATACATCATAGAAACGTCCTTGGGAGAATCACCACAATAACGCAGAAACCAATCAAGACCAACGATTTTCCTGGCGAGAAATGTGATCTCATGGTCAACTGATCAGCAACATGAACAAAATCCAAAATTAAGACCTTAAACAAGTGAATTCTTGGGATCTAACGTACCCAACAGCAGTGATATCTGCTAGCAAGGTAAACCATAAGGCTAGGATGAAGCCGTGGATCTCAGTAGCATCCACCGAACTGATAGATGCTCGAAAACGCATCCCACCTGACTCTGAGCATGATGAAGAGCGTAGTCAGCTTAGGCGCAGACTTATAAAAAGTCTACGTAACGACCGCGAACAGTGGTGGGTAGCGAAAGCAGAAGCGATGGAAAAGGCAGCGGCGATCGGCAACAGTAGACAACTTTTCCGCCTTATCAAAGAAACCGGTATTAGGAACCCAAATGTGAGTGAGACTATCTCGGAAAAGGATGGTCTTATTATCCATTCTCAATCCAGGAGACTGGATCGATGGGCAGAACACTTTAGGGATCAGTTCAACTGGCCTCCAACCACACTTCGGTTACCCACGATCTCCAGTCATCCTGAATGGCAAATCGACGTAAGTTGAGAAGGCGTTAGTAAATCTGAAGCGAGGGCGAGCTGCAGGTCCTGACAGATTGACCCCTGAGATGTTTAAGGATGGTGGTCCAGTTTTAGCAGGTAGGTTGACTTAGATCTTAGGTAGAATCCGGGAATTGGACGTAATCCTATCTGACTGGTCTCAGTCGCTAATTGTCCCAATCTACAAGAAAGGACAAAAATCTTCTTGTGACAATCACAGGGGAATAAGTCTAACTAATATAGAATCTAAAATATTGACCTCAGTAATGCTTCGACGCATAACGAAAGCTCGTGAAGAGCAAACTCGAGAAAACCAATCTGTTTTTCGACCTGGACATGGTTGTATAGACCCAATGAAATATTCAGCATTTCTGTTCATCACTAGACAATTGGCACATAGAATTTTTCTTACTAATTCTGAATAATAGAATCAACGGACGAATTGTTTCCTGATAAATACTTACCTTTTATTTAAGATACTCATATAGAAAATGAGTAATGATTATTTTTTTATGGAACAAATTTATCTACTCTGTTTATTTTAAATACATGAAATATAGGATACCTTAAGAATAATCAAGATCATAGAATAAATATTTCATTCATAACTAAATAAACACACGCACACACATTCGTGGTTTACAATGACAATCACTCTTTAAACTGGATATACCCAAAGTTGATGATCATGAGAAATGATAATTTGCATTACGGGGTTGTGAAGATTGTTAAGTTACACATTTTTGAAACCATGAACCGATCAATGTTAGACCACCATTAGAAACCCGGAAGCACTGGACGGCCGTTTCGTCCTGGTATGGGACTCCTCAGCAGTGCGCACCCACGACTCCTGCACCCCGCAGGATTCGAACGTGGGACCTTCGGTATTGTGCGCGAACGCCCCAACCGACAGACCACTGAGCCGGTATCTAACGGTGTTAATATCTAACTTGACCAAATTCACAGAGTTGCGCAACCTCATACACAGTCTTCGGTAGTTACTGTCTAAACCCGAACAGGTTGAACTTCACTGGTCACGTCTTCCAACTAGAACTCGGAGAAGATTCCTCACGAAGCTAGTCACAAAATTGTTATTTTAAACACATGGGAATTGTTTGCAACAACAACAACAAAACGAGATCTGAACTAAAAATTGTGAACTAGCAAAGTTGAGTGTGATTGTGTTTTTTTTGCTTGCTGATCATCATTTCTTCATTGTAACGAAAACAAGTTGGAATTGGCTATTTTGTGCATTTTTATCAGTGTCTTTCAGTTAGTTCTACATACAGATTATTCAAACTATTGTTTTTTAATACTCATTTTGACAAAATATACGTTTTCAATTAAATGTGAACACAATATGATGTATGAATGCATGATCCTAATAGGTCAATTGCAAGTTAAATGTGAAGCAATCAGGATTATGTTTATATTGAGTTTATTTTGTATATTTCATCTTAATTACGTTTGTGATTTCTGAAGAATAATTAAAAACTTTTATTACATTGTTTCTACTACTGAGTAGTATACTGAAAAGTTCATCATTACATTATCTCTACGAATGACCACTGTTTGTTATTTCAATGTCAATGTAATTTTATGTTGTGTTACTACTGTGTTACCACTTTCACAGTCTCGTTATGATTAGGTCTATGACAGTCGGTGCAAGTTATAAGCTCAGCCATCGTTTCGCTTTCTTTTTAAAATCACTTAGCCAAATATTTCATTTTTTTTTTCAATAGTTGAATCTGCATATATATATTACTAGATAGATGTGGTTGAAGATGCTAGATCTCGTAGTAATCCTCTTAATTCTGTAATTTATTCTTGTGAATTCTGTTACGCCTACACATAACACGTCAACTTGGTATACTTGAACTATTACGAGTTTACCTAGTCGGAAGAACAATGTCGAGGATCCGGTGACACGACATACTACTCAAATCCGATTATCCCACCCGCATATTGAGAAAAAATTAGAAGACTTAAATATGAAGTAGAACCTGTGTTCTACTAGCATCCAGAAGGTACGAGGCCCGGATCCAGAGGAGAAACAGGATCCCGGACTAGGAATATCCTAACAAATTCGAATTTTTATTTTTCCGCGAAAGCGCCCCTATCATCCTCAGTTTGTGTTTCTCATTTGAAAGGACCTTAACCACCATGGGTGGTTAGCTATCCTTTTTTAAGTGTACTGTTTTCTAACTGTCCTGAAGACACTTTTCTTACAGCATAAATTATACTTGAATTGAATGCTTGTCAATTCGTTCGTTCAAGGCTACTTGTTGATTATAAAATCTTCCTGCTGACCTTAGATTTCTTACTCTACTTAATTGGGCTGGGGCTATAGGGAATAGATAAGCTGTCCTGTTGTTTTGCCACCACTGGTTTACGTTCCGTTCGTATCCTAATTAGGGCAAGCATAGATAACGTATAATAATAAAAAACTGATTGGTACTAACGTGGGCTGAGAATGCAGAATAATGTATTAGTGTAGATGTTTAGTACCTTTAGGAAATATATCGTAAGATCGCTGTATGCTTAAAAACATTTCAGTAAAATAAGTATATTGTGTATTGCAAATTTTGTTTCGACAGTCTTTAACGCAATTCCTTTTACAAATTTCGACACTCGAAGCATTATGTAAAAGAAAACATCAATTTACAAAATAAGGGAGTTGTATTGATATCACAACAATATTTGATAAGCTCTTTGTTTGTTTGATGCACGATTACTACAGATAATATGGTGTATTAGCTGAAATGGATGAAGTCTCCAACAATTTGAAAGTATCATACGTCTAACATGATATAAAAATCGAACTGTATTTTTTTTCGATCATCTGCTGCTCATAAAACATGATTGATTAGTAGCTGTTCCTAATTTCCCCTTTCACCCAATCAACAATTTCTTCTGCACTATCCATATCAATGATAATTACAGAAGATTCCATTTCCTCATCTGATGCCTCGATATCAAATTCTTTCATGTCAATCAGTGTTTTATTTAACCGACCCAATACAATTCCTAAAAAGGAATCATCTATGCGAATGTTCTGTGTGAAAGCCATAGCCAAAGATGCATCACTGACAACATCTGAACTCAGCAAATAACCAGTACCGTAAAAATAAGGTGGATAATAATCCCATGGGTATTCTTTCACTGAAACCGCCCATTTTAAGTGAGATTTCCCTCTTGACGGTCGTACCACCACTCTAGTACGATGCACCATACCTATAGCAATCGACTTCGAACCTGAATAATTCAAACTCCTGATAAAATGAATAGTTTTTACAGGCAGTAATACAAAATCATCATCGAGGAATAACCATAATGGTGTTTGTTTTTTACAGAATGTAGCTGCCCATCGGAATGATAAAATCATCTTTGATGTTAAATTGAAATACGTATCGTAAAATGATCCAACCAACATGTCATTAAATTGTCGACTCTCATCATATAGATTTTTAGCAGCAATCCATCGTGAACTGTTGTAAAGACTTGATAATTCCGAAGCATTCCGCTGAAGATCTACATCGAATCCATCGAAATGAAATATATCCGTTTCATTTGGCATGGGAAGTCCAACAACGAAAACGAATCGAATTCGGAAATTCATCCATAAGTGTGATTTCATATAGGTATTTCGTGCATACCATCGATTGTCAAAACAATAGGCACACGATTTCACTATAACAATAAGTTCTAGATTCTCTGGTGGTTTGTTGGGATTGCAAACATTCATTGGTAGTTGTACAACAAAAATTGGTCCTCCATTGATCGGCATCTGAAACAGGGAATAAAACAAATCATGGAAATATCAGACTGATAAACTGGTAAAGGAAAATTAGTTTCTACATGGGATAGATCAACGAAAAGAGCTTTAATCAAATACAGAGTTATTTTTTATGTGAACGTTTTACTGAAAACTTGACTACAATTCAAGACTGAGAACGTGGAAAATTCTAGAAAGATTTCAAATGAATCATTTATGAAAGTTGCATCCAATGGAATAAAGCAATTGTCTAATTGTTAAACACCATTATAAATTCAGTTATTTTCATAGCTATCTGCTTACATTGACATAATACATATTGATTTCAAAATGAAAGCCTACTCTGCTTATTGAGATTGGTTCCAATCAGTGCAAATATAAACCTTTCAACTCGATGTACAAAATTTCAAGTTTTGCTTTAATCATTTTAGTAATAATTACTCAGTGGTAATGGCCTGACGATGTCAGCAATACAGCACTAGCTGCGATAGTTTGTTTATGGAAGACTACCGTTAATGAAATCCTCTCAGCACATGAATTGTGAAAATGATTTTGTCTTCCACATTTTGCATATGATGGCACATCAATCGATGAAGTGGTGAAACTTCATCAGTTGAGGTGGTTGGGACATGTGTTGCGTATGCCTAACCACCGACTGCCTCGTCGAGCTTTGTTTTGTAGTGTAGGAATAGGTTGGATGAAAGTTAGGGGCGGCCAAACCAAAACATGGCACAAATCCATGAAGTCATTGACAAGTGGACTTAGCCATGTCGGTAATTGTCGACTACCTGGTTGTGGTCCGCGAGATGATAATAATCGATGGTTAGAGACCTTGAATGACATGGCTCAAAATCGTTCGCAATGGCGCCGGTGCATTTATTCTTTGTGTTCTCTCAAATCCTAATCTTCTGGGTTCTTCAACAACTCTAGTTTTGACTTTCTAAACTTTTCTCATTAAATCATATTTCTTGAATAATATCTTCTAATCCTAACCTCTCCTATTACATCCAATACCTTTACTACCTCTTCTACTATTGGATTTGAATTGTCAATTACATCTCTGTGCTGATGTGGTATGGCAACATGAACTGATGTACTTACGTACGAAGTTCTACGTTGCATCTGACTGACTGACTGTTGCATGTTCTGACAAATGAAAGTGAAAATATCCAAAAGTACACACAGCTTATTAGTCTGACAAACTGGCTATAGAGTATGCGCACAGTATTTAAACTACTCACAAGTAAAAATGTTTGCAGATAACTCGTTTCGGCGTTTCATTTGGACAACACAGAAGTGACTATGCTTCAGTTGAGTTATGATACTAATAGACATTTTACACTGACGTAATATATTATGTCCTGCCTCGATAGTATGCAAGTCAAAACATCATTTCTCATATTTTCTTTATATTCGTGTAGGAATATAAATAAAATTGGTAATAATGATTTCAGCTCAATATTTTTTTTAAAACTAAAGTTAATCATAGCGGGAATTGGAAAAATAGACTCATAATGTTCAACGTTCATGCTACATAGATCAGCAGGTATTATGCAGTTTGATACAATTTCCATATTCACTGATTATTATCAGGATTGCAACAAATAGTCTGAATATAAAGTTTGTTGTATGTCAGTTGGCATCTCTGATAGGCCATGTGAGTGTTTACTGAAAAACTAGTAGCATGAATCGAGACTAAACTCTTCTCTGATCTGTCCATATAGACAGTTTGACAGAAAGATACAACGCAGAACTTTGTAAATAAGTACATCAGTTCAGGTTGCCATACCACATCAGCACAGAGACGTAACTGTCAGTTCAAATCCAAGAGTGATAGCGATAGTAGAATTATTAGCAGCAACGGAGAAGATTAGGGAGCGAAGATATGATTCGAGAGGTATAATTCAATGAGATAAATTTAGAAGGAGAAAGAAAGAGGTTATGAGGAATTCAGAAGGTTAGAATTAGAGAGAACACAAAGAGTGGATTCGCCTGCGCCATTGCATACGATTTTGAGCCATGTCGTTCAAGGTCCCTAACCATCGGTAACCTTCGTCTCGCACACCGCAACCAGGTAGCCTACATCATCTACCAACATGACTCAGTCCACTTGTCAGAGACTTCATCGATTTGTGCCATATTTTGATTTTGCCGCCCCTAGCTTTTTCCCAACCTACTCCTACACTACAAAACATAGCTCTTCGAGGCAGTCGGTGGTTAGGCATACGTAACACATGTCCCAACCACCTCAAATGATGAAGTTTCACCACTTCGTCTATTGATCTGCCATCCTTACCTATAACTCGTTTCCTAACGATAGCATTGCTTACTCAGTCGTCCCAGGATACACGAGCAATGCTTCGGATACACCTATGATCGAAAACCAGTAAACTACGAATGTCCTCTACTCTCATTGGCCATGTTTCGCATCCGTTTAGTAGGACAGAGCGAAATGCTGCTCTGTACACTCGTCCTTCGGCTAACAAGAGGATATCTCACCTGCGCCATAAGTGACGCATGTTGGCAAAAGCCAATCGAGCCTTCTATATCCGAGCTGAGATTTCGTCAGTCACCAGGCCATCAGCACTGATGAGACTCCCTAGATAAGTGAAGCGGTCAACACGCTCGACATAGAAGTTTTGGTTTAACTATCTTCAACTGAGATACTTATAACTTCACATATGTTTTTTGACTGAGCACTGGTGTTTTGTTAGATACATACAACTGATGCATATTCTGAAGGATATCTATCCAGTCTGTTGGTAATTTCAAGTACTTGATGCTACACATGTGTGCGTTAAAAGTACCAAGTAATTTTATATTTCTGCCGAGCTTATGTTCTTACTCAATGGCAGTTCTTGTTCACTGTTGTAGCGCTGACTGAGATCATCTGTTCCATATCTGTCTGTAGCAATTCATACAGGGTTTACCAACCATTTGTTTGACAGAGATTATGTTATTCTTCAATTTTCTTATATAATTGATTCCCTATAACGAGTTTCATATTCAAATATTCATATCCCTATTACTTTTGAGTCAATTTTATATATTAGAGCTTCGGAATATGTCATACTCATAAAAACAGTATATGGTTGATGAATTTGTGGTTTGTGATGAAAACATTATCTAACTCAGCATTCTACATTCGTTCGACAATTGCTATCCAGTTTTGAATTTCGGGGTAGGGGAAAAATGAGGCTTATATGTAACCTTCAACCGATAATCATATATCCAACATGCTATCTAAAAACAGTTGTCTCAGCTATTTCGTTGATAAATAACGGAAATTGACATTAAACAAGTAACCCAGAACTTGTTTTCATAAAAACTAACTTTAATTGTATGGGCAACTTCAAGATAGTTAAATAAACCTTCTGAACATCTATCTGGAGGAATTAAAGAACATGTCTTTTACAGATGAACTCTAACTTTTTCAATAAACTGACCGATTTCTGGATATATGCAAGATGAGCTTCCTCAACCGATAGCCTTTATCTCAAAATACCAGTTCACATAGAGTAAGATAGGTTAAGCATAACCTGTGTTTGCCTTCAAAATATTTACGATAAAACAATTTAATTTCAATCACCCATCTAACTTAAATATTGTTTTTAAAGTTGTTTATAAAATCAACCGATATTCTTCAGACTCGAATTCATCAAACCACCCAAAAACTTTGTATATCTAGGAGATGACATAATCTGAGCTTCATACTTTCGTAATTCAAAGTATCCATTTTTCAACAATTTCTTTGAAATTCCTTAGAGATTTTCATTCATACCGGTTTACAATAATGCTTCATAAAATCTCTTAAATATTTACATGCTGAACTGATGATATATGAAAAATCAAGTGATTTATTTACCTTACTCGATTTATATTAAAAACCATTTTTCACCTATCAATTTTTCAACCGTTTTTAACTATGAACATTCTTTAAAATTTACATAACCATGTGTTGTTATTACTAACACTTCACCACTTACTAAAATAGTGATCATTATTATGTTGTCATAATTGTATACTGTACACAAACAAAAGTACAGTTTGGTAGTGAATTCACTGAAAAGAAGACATCTCTCCAATGAATTAGATATTTCTGATATCTTTCCATTAAAAGAAGTACAAACTAATAGCATACAATTCCACAGAATAGTTTCAGTCACATACACAGTAACAGTCAGAGCTACCATATAACAATCAGAAAACTATTTTCATAATATATGAAATAATGGTTGACCGATCAGTTCACTGTCAACATGTAAATAAAGCAAGTGATCAAACCCCAATGTTGACTCAAGCATTACTTACTTACTTACTTACTTACGCCTGTTACCCCCAATGGAGCATAGGCCGCCCACCAGTTTTCGACAACCAACTCTGTCCTGGGCTTCTCTCTCCAGTTCTGTCCAATTTTTGTTCATTCCTCTCATATCTTTCTCTATTTCTCGGCGTAGTGTGTTCCTTGGCCTTCCTCTTTTCCTTTTGCCTTGAGGGTTCCATGTGAGGGCTTGTCTCGTGACGCAGTTAGGTGTATTTCGTAGTGTGTGTCCTATCCACTTCCACCGCTTCTTCCTCATTTCCTCCTCCATTGGAATCTGGTTTGTTCTCTCCCACAGTTCGTTGTTGCTTATCGTGTCTGGCCAACGAATACGAAGTATTTTGCGTAGACAGCTGTTAATAAACACTTGTATCCTCTGGATGATGGCTTTGGTAGTTCTCCAAGTTTCCGCTCCATACAGTAAAACTGTCTTGACATTTGTATTGAAAATCCTGCATTTGGTTTTGTTTGAAAGTTGTTTGGAGTTCCAGATATTTTTCAACTGTAGAAATGCAGCCCTTGCTTTGCCAATCCGCGCCCTCACATCTGCGTCCGATCCACCTTTCTCGTTGATGATGCTGCCCAGATATGTAAAGGTGTTAACTTCCTCCAAGGCATCTCCATCAAGAGTGATTTGGTTGTTGCATGTTGTGTTGCATCGGAGAATTTTGCTTTTTCCTTTATGTATGTTGAGACCTACTGCTGCTGAGGCTGCTGCTACACTGGTGACTCAAGCATGGAAGAATCTTATTGACTTACATATTTTATTCATGCAGTATTGTTCTAATTTGTAAGTGTTGATTAGTAAATAAATTTATTAAATTACAAGGAATTCTGTAAGTTAAATTGAATTAATAAACTAACTAACTATTTAACATGAGTCAAACATAACTTACTGAGTTATTAGGTAATCCATCTTCAATTGCATGCAATGCCTTATTCACATCAAAATACTTTGGGTGATGTACTTTTTTGATTTGTGTTTTTACCGACGAATTGTTATTAGGCATTTGAATTACAGTACTAGTATTAGACAAAACATAATGTTCATTCAATGTGCCATTTATACGGTGTTTATTATTGATTTTAAATGGAAACTGTATATCCAAAAGTATATCATTTAACGGTGTATAAAACAAGCGAACTGATGAATCGAATCCAGATAATCTTTTATAACTTATTATGTTTAAATTATTCAATTGATTAACACATTGAAGCCATATTTGCTCTGATTTTGTACATTTGTTTAACATGTTCATGTGATGGAATACAACAGATTTATCATTCAAAAATCCCGCTTGTAATGAATTATCAGTTATGTAATTATAATACAGAATAATTGATGATATTTGAAAGATTAATAAAATAAATATTATGACTAGTCTCAATTTCTTAGAAATATATATTCCAAAAGGTATTATATGTTGTCTTGCAACAACCATAACTGATTAATACCATATAAATTCTGTTGACGCCTAATTATTCCTTATTGTTCAACAAAAAAAAGTGTACATGTATGTTTTTTTTTAACTTCAGCAATTGATTTCAAGAAATGAATTCTACTCAAAATTTTTCGGTTAAACTTTATATAGGCTCTCGTATGATTTTATTAATTGACAGTTATTATTAATATACACACATTAAAAGCACAAAAATAAAATCGAGTTCATATTGGTAAGGGCAATATATATATATATTTTTCATTTGTTTAATAGGAAAGAATTTGATTGAATGAATGGATTAAAATATTATTTTATTCAACAGAACTTATAAACTACTATGTAGTTTTCACAATTTAAATCAATCTTCAATATAGCGAGCTCTGTTCACTTTTTGAGAAATCAATTATTGCTCATGCCTATTAATGTTGAAAATATTTCCCTACTTCTAGGCGTTATTATAGTTGAAATATCAGTGAAATTGTTTATTGTAGAATACTACTCAACTTGAAGTTACAGTACTATATAAATTTGAGTGAATAATTTACAAGTGTTATTCGTTTCAAAAGAGGAATATATATGTATGTAATCACACAAGAGTATTATGAGTTGAATAGTTATCATCATAATCTATACTTCAACCATTCAGATAATTAAATGAAACTCAAATTTACAAGTAGATCAATGCAAGTCATTAAAAAAACCTAGAAGATAAACTCACATATCACTTCAAATGTAATCAGTAAATAAATTATTTGATTTCTCATTTGACAATGAATCAGTATGTAATCGAACAAGTATTACTAACTAACGGCTTTTAATTTTTAATTCATTGTTATATTTAAATGAATTAGTAACGTCAATCAATAAAAGCTTCTGTAAGTGAATTATTTGTTTGCTTTCTAGATTTCAAAAGATGGGAGTATGCAGCCCTGTTCGACACTGGTTTTCATTTGGACTGATCATATGAGCTGCTTTTCAATTCGATCCATCTTAAGAATTCCATAGTTTTGAAGAGGCCTCCATAGTGTCATCCTGTCCACGCTGTTGAATGATTTCTGAAAGTCAAGGAAGTTGATGTGAAATGATGAGTTTCATTCAGCTGATTGATCTACAATGACTCGTATTGTTGCGATACGGTCGATACACAATCGATCCTTATGGAATCCAGCTTAATAATCTCTACAGTGGAAGTCTACGGAATCTTTCCTTCACTTCATCAGCACTTTGAAAACTTTGCTTGATCGTTGCAGTAGTGTGACGCCTCTATAGTTCGCACATTTACTAGGATTTCGGTTTTTCGGTGTCTTGATGAAGTGTCTCTGTTACAAACCTGTCGATATCTAAACTTCCTTCAAGTCTTTCTGAGGAGAACATGGAGCATCTTTGCAGTTACTCCTTTGTCTAACGTTAATGCTTCAGCTGTTGTAGTGTCTCGTCCTGATACTTTGGTTTCCTCATTTATATAACTGCCTTACCAATTTCTTCTATTGTAGGTGGAGAAACACACGTGGGAAAGTCTTTAGGTGTTACTTCAGTGTATAACTGGCTCAGTGTGGCTCGATTAGTCAAGAACCCTTCAAAGTGCTCTACTTACTTGTTCAGCTAACCTTAAACCTATGTGATTGGTTTAGCTTCCTTCTTTGTGAATGATCTCTTTGGTTTTTTATGTTTTTCTACTTACTTCGTATAGTGCTCATACATTCCCTGTTCTTGCAGCCTTGTTTGATGTACCTGATAGATCTTTAACATAATTTCTCTTGTTAGCTCCAATGCTCTTCTTCACTCGTTTATTTGGTTCTGTATACTTGACTCTGTGTTGGCTTCCCCTTGACTGTTTTTTTGTTTTTCCGTTCTTGAATCTTACGTAGGACATCAATAGAGATCAACTATTTATTCTGCTTTTTCTCGCTCCCCTTTATCACTTGGATTGTCGAGATTGTTTCCTCCTTCATCTCTGCTCAAATGTTCACTATAGTGGTTTACCCTTCTAGTAGATATTGTAAATCGTAGAACCTACCGCTAAGTACTGTCTAGAATTCGTTGCGCATGTCAGCACATAGAAGAAAAGCTGTTATAAATTTTTGCAGCACTGTTTTCAAAAGTGAGTTAGAAGTTATTAAAGCGAATTCGGTAAGAGATCAGCATGAACAACGACGAATATTGATCAACATTATTCACTTCACACAGCTTGAGAGGCCAACCACTTAAGAGAGAATAATCTTGTAACCTTTAAGTTTATTATTCATAATGTAACTACTACTCGATCATACTTGATCATTCACAAATCTATTCACTGTAACAAAAGATGCATAGACGTTCCGACTAACTACCTCTCCATCATATTGTTTGTATTTCGATAACAGTAAACTTTGCTAATCAACAGATTACTAAATTTTCACCACACCTTTCATCAAACAATAATCGGTGATCACATTATTGAATATGTAACAAATATCACTGATTAGCCTTCATTTTAGTTTTACAATAGAGGAGAGCTAAATGAAATCCCTATTCACCAATCACTGTTGATTCCCATGAAAATAAACTTGATGGTCAGTATAATGATGTTTCCAAAAACCCGATTCACTTATTGATAAGGTATACACATCAATATCTAACTGAAAATACAAAGAAGTACGTGGTGGTGTTTCGTTCTCTGAGCTAGTTGTTTTGGTTGTGGAGCTTTCATTGTTCTTCTGAACAAGTTAACCAAGAGTGGAGATGATCAGGTATGAATCAATATCCTACTAACTCAAAAATCCTTACTTCAACATTCAGTACATGAATATAGTATGAAACCTTGACCATAAAGTGTTTTACATAAAGACCAAAGGTGACGCCATGAGTTTAGCTTTACCGAATATTTTCAATAGGTTTCAAACTACATTATCGCATTAGTAGAGAATATTGATGGGCAAACTAAACGAATGTTACTGCGTTTCGATGATGAAATAGAATGGCTACATGTAAAATGATGAGCTGATCATAGGTTTACACAGATTCGAAGTTGATAGCATGTAAAGAAGATTGAGAAAGCAAAGAAAGTAGGATCTCCAGGGCGTAACTCCTTTGTGTCATAATCCAAATCAATCAGAACCGTTAACATGCTATTTACAAAGCTTGAATAGACTTACGAACCATGTCAAGACTGATCTGCTATGAAAGTTAGTCAATATCTGGAGAGAAAACTGTTTGTCTAGCTGTTGAATTAGTTGAAATGAATGGATTATTCATTCCATCTCTCAGTTTAAACTGAAAGTACACTAAATAATTACTCCTAACCGTATCAGTACATACGGACAATTATGGACATACATTCGATTGGAACAATGTTGAAATAGTGGATAGGGGGAGCACTAAGAACACCAGAGAATTTGTAGAAGCTTGGCACTCACATCAATCAGCAATCAACAAACACATTGACATTGACCCAATTTATCAACCAATCAGAAAAATCATAGGCGTCGTAGAATCAAGAAACAGATCAAAATGGGGATACAATTAAAACAAAGGTGGAAACAACGACAGATTTAAGGTCAACAGCAACGAATCAAGATCGAGATTAACGGAACAAGCTACAGGTCAAACGTGGAGAAATTTGAATACTTCACTTCTATCTGAAGTCTGTGCTGATGATGTTGCTCAGAAGAACAATGAAAGCTCCACAATCAAAACATCCGCTTAGAGAACGAAACACCACTACAATCATCAATCTGAGCTACAAATTTTCTCCACTATCTCAACAACTAACACAATTTAGTACGTTTTGTCTACATCTCCTACATATGACTGTCAGAACTGAGGTTTTAAAGTTTACATGCTAAACTTTTTATTTGTTTGAAATCATCAATCAATCATTGTTAGACCACCATTCGAAACCTGGAAGCACTGGACAGCCGTTTCGTCCTGGTATGGGGCTCCTCGATAGTGCGCATCCATGACTCCTGCTCCTCGCAGGATTCGAACGTGGGACCTTCGGTATTGTGCGCGAATGCCTAACCATCGGACCACTGGGCCGGCATCCATGATATATCGATACTTCGAAATTTTGAGTTTATTTTTTTAATAATCTTACATTATTGAGTTATTGTAGCTTTTCCGATTTTCTTGTTACGCATTCATTTTTAAGGTCATCAGCTATCATATACAGTATGGTATGCTCGCGTAACTCTGTAATACTGTGCTCATGTAATGATTATCTTGAATATATCTTTCGTTTGAACTAGATGATGTGATCTAAAGTTGTTTTTTAAACCGTAATCACCAATTTGGTAGTTCTAATACAAAGATTTCTGTGCTATAGCATTTTAAAAATCACTACTGTATGTAGTGAAGGAGAACACAGGTGAAGGCAACTGAATTGAATTTAACGAAAATTACAGAGTTACTGAGTAAAGTAGAAAAACCATATCGTAACCGTTAATTTGGAAGTCTTCAATCAATCATCAATCCATTGTCTGACATTTCACCACTGTTCATGCGTTTCATACAAATCCCATTGTGTTCCCACTCTTCCTTTCTTGATCTTCCCCCATCTTCTGCTGCCAGACATTACGTTTTCACTCGCGTCATATACTACTTATAAGTAGCGCGCACCACACTGTCGACATTAAAATAATGTATGAATTTATATTCATGCTGTTTAATGTTATTTAACTGCTGAGTTTATATCTTCTGACATGACTGCATGATTGTATGTTATGAATGCAAGAAACTGTTTACCACAATGTTATAGCTGACAATATACCATATTGATTGCTTTTCGGGCTTTTGTTTCTAATAATGATATTGTTTTGTTAGCTGTTTAAATGTCTTTACTGTTTTCACATCGATTACAAAAAATCATTACAAATACATGTCCTACTATCGGAACGTTTAAAGTCTCAGTATTGAATAGACAATCAGTTTATTTTGCGACCTTGTCATAAAACTGTGGAAAAAAACAAGAAGTAGTTACAAAAATCGATTAAAAAAACTTGGGTTCATTTAGATTTATTATGACATAAGTTGTAGTTAACGGTGTTGTTTATGCTACTTACAACGATGCGTATAAGTAGTATTCAGTGGATATGTAGAGGAGTGGCTCCTAGAAGGTAATTTTGAAGCGAAAAGTGTTGGATCTGGATGTAGGGT